AAGGTACATACACCCGTGGACTTCGTTTCCCGCACGCTGCATCTTCCGTGGGAGTGGCGGTTCCACCCGGAGGTGGTAGATCACATCTGGGAGAGCAGGCGTGGATCTGTTTGCCTCCAGAGACACGGCTCACTGTTCCCTCTGGTTCTCCCTGTCAGACAGTTCATGTCCTCTGGGATGCGATACGCTGGCCCTTGATTGGCCTAGAACTGTCCTGTATGCCTTTCCCCCGTTGGGCCTGATACCCCAGACCCTCCTGTGGGTTTTCCAGGAAGGGCACAGGCTCCTGCTGGTTGCCCCGTTCTGTCCGGCGAGGACTTGGTTTCCTCTGCTGTGCAGGCTTTGTTACAGCTTGCCGATGCACCTCCCATCCAGTGGTCCCAACTGGGGGGTCGGGTTCTCCGCCCAGACCAACCCGGCTTTCTCCTGATTCGGGGGTGACGTGGTTCACACAATAACTTGTGCATGAGCGCCATCCACCCTGGCTGCTTGCACTGCCAGATGGGCAGCTTTTGCTACCTGGTGTGATAGGGGGCTCGACCAGCATGGCATACAAAGATTCTGTTAGTCACCTGAATGGTCGCTGGACGCAAAGGTCTAACGCCTCTCAGGAATAACACTATGTCCCTACACCTTTCAACAGAGCAGCCATTGCACCCAGTGGGCCAATGGGAAATGGCAGCCACATAGACCTTCAAGGGGAGGGGAACCCTCCCTTGTTAAGTAACCCTTGAAGGAAGGCCAGTAAGGGTTGAATGGGAGAACGTATGAGGTTGTGCCCTCTACAAACAAAGGTTGGCACTTTGGGGCGATATCTGTGGCATACTCCCTGCAGGGTCAGCCCCTGCCTCAGGGAGTTTGGTGCCACTCCACAAGGAGCCTGTCAACCTCATGGGCTGCAATGATGGGGGTGCCGCTGGAGTCCATCTGCGAAGCAGCCTCATGGTCTGTGCCGACCACTTTCATGAGGTTTTATAGGGTTAACATGGCTACGCCTCATCCTCTTCAGGGCATCCTGCAGCCACCACCGGCTGTATCCCGCTAAGGTACAGTAGGTGCTACTGGCTCCAGTGGGTTGTTCCTTTCTTTCTGCATCCCTCTGGACCTGGTTGGCGTGCGACATTCAGGGCTTGAAGCACCGCCTCTGGCGGTCAGTATAGTAAATAGAACGAAAGTTACATATGTAACTACGGTTCTATGAATCCCGGTCGAGGGACTGAACTATGACTGATCACTCAGTGCTTGAAGCACCGCCTCTGGCATTCATCCAGGATTCATAGAACCGTAGGTACATATGTAACTTTGGTTACAGAGACCTCCGTGTTCTGCAGTAAAAGATAAACATTTTATTCTAACCAATTTAAAGAGGGTATATCTCCTCCTTACTTGTTTGTGCAAACACATTTGGTAACATGTTTCAGATGTTCCTCAAGCCACTTCTTTCTTCTTAAAACCTGCATAACAGCTGATGACATGGAGAAATAAAAACATTCAGAAGCCATTGCTAAGTTCTTTGGACTATAGAAGAAGAAGAAATGTGCTGATGATCTCTGTTATATCTGCCTAAACAGAAGTGGGAAAACGGGCTTTTATTTACTGTTTTATGTAGAACATTCTGCAAAAAGACTGGAAATGAACAAAACTTGTTTCACTAAACATTTTAACACACTTGCAGTTATGTGAGATGGACTCAATTAAATTGTAATTATCCTAAATTGTGTATTTTTTATTATCATCTTGATGTAACTAATAATATATATACTGCCCCTTTCCCAGGGCTCCCTTGAAAAGAAAAGTAGTTAAAAAATATAAATCTCAACAGGACTTTCATAGCAAAATAAAGGTTAAATGAATAAGTAACACCAGTTCTGTCTGACCACTGGGAGAACCCTGTACAGAAATGTTAAGGTGATACAGTTTAAAGTTTTCAAAATTTAGCATTTGAAGAAATTTTTAGAAAATAACAACTTAAACTTTAAAAGCCAGTCAAGCAGTTATTTAAGAATCAAACTATTTCCAATATCGATATATTTCACTTAATTCTCAAGTTATTACTTAAAATAATAGAACCCTATCAATTATTCATCAAATTGAAACTGAAATTATTTTTCATTTAGTGTAGAATTTCTTGACAAATAACTAAAATAAGAAATAATTCACCCAAATTTTATTTTCTTTAAGACTGCTATTTTTGTAAAATAATTAAAATTATGGAATTGAAAAACAAAATTGAAATTTAATCCATAAAAACACATCAACATTTATTTTGAAATGTCAAATTTTAATAAATACATAAACAAAAACTGCATTTCCTTTTTTTTTTTTAGCTGCATCTGTTGAGTAGTTATTGCTTTTATTTTATTATATATAATATTTTAGCATTAGATAGCCTAAACTGCTTTTTCATTTTCTTCTGCAAGGCTGCTCATTTGGTTACTTAATCCAGATGATTAATAAAATAACATTAAACATATAATTTGTAAAAGAAATCGCAGAGAAAAAGGCACCAAAATTCAGTTTGACAATTTTTATTTGAGATTTAAATTCCATTCACAAAAATGCTTTTTAATTTTAAAGTCCATACATCCATCCATTCTCTGTCTCCCTTATCCCTACTGGGGTTGCAAGGGGTTCAGGTGTCTATCTCCAGCTGTCTACGGGCGAGAGGCGGGGTCCACCCTCGACAGGTCACCAGTCCATCGCAGGTCAACACAGGACAAACAACCGTTCACACCAACACACTCAAATAGTCATGTTTTTGGACTATGTGAGGAAGCTGGAGTACCCGGAGAAATCCCATGCATGCACAGGGAGAACATGCAAATTGGGTGGGAATCAAACCCGGATCTTCTTGCTGCAAGGCAGGGCTAGGACTTTCATTTTAAAGTCAAAAATGCATTTTTTGACTTATGTATCAGCAATAAAATCAGCAATTCACCAGTAGGTATAATGTACCAAATAGCAGACTCAAGCTGCCAATCAAACTAAGAGCTGCTCTTCTTGAGGGACAGTTTAATTTCAATTTTCTACTTATTGTTAAAGGATTTTGTTAAATGCTTTGTGTTAAATGGGGCTCTTCTGTTTTATATTCTGACTTAAAACCATATGGTTGACAGTTGCCTACATTACAAAACTTTGTAGGTTTTTATGTTATGGGAAAAGGAACCTGATATATTTTGATATAATTTCTTTAGCCTTTTAGTTTTATTCTATATGTATTTTTTATTTGGTTTATATTATGGTATTATTTACTATCATTTCACTTGGAACTGAATAATTTTTGTTAACTCTTATATTTTTACCAGAAGTTTTGGTTTATTCCATATTCCTTTCTATGTGCAAAATTATCTGTTTGACCAGGATTTGAGCTTGATTCACACTTTCATGTGTTGGTAAACACACAGCCAGTAGACCCTGTGCTCATAAACAATATATAACAGTCCAAATAATATCTGATTAAATAAGATATTTACCCTCCCTAGTACCCGGTGTGCAATAAATATATTGTAAAGTATCACAACAGTGGGAAACTGCTTGCTCTGCCAAATAATGTTAAGGCGTCAATAAAAAGATTCCTGCATATGGATTATAATGTGGATTATCACCAACATTTAATGGACTGTTCCTTGGACGGAGGTGCACCCCTGGTAAAATTTTTTATTAAAATCCATTCATAACTCTTAAAAGTTATCCCATACACAGACAGACAAACACACACAAACTCCACTACAAACAAATCTCCATCTCCTTGGCGGAGGTAATAAACTTGAAGAATCCATCATTTTACTTTACTAAAGATGTTTTATGTGATTTTTAGACTTACTGTATTACATTTTTACACAATGTGGTCACCACACATATATTCTGTTCTATTATAAAATGATGCATAAGAGAGTTTATGTTCACATACAAGGTATCTGACTTCAGTTCTGAAAACTCACCTCCCACACTAATGAAATATGAATATAGAAACTGTAGAGCGAAAACAATAAAATAAATGATTTGTTTTATTAATTTCTGTCTTAATTTTAGCATGCGAGGGCCGGCACTCCTTAAATCATACCTGCTCAAATTTTTACACTCCGGCCAAAGCACCTTGCTATGTCAGTAAATAACTCAAGGAGCTCAATAAGTAATACAATATTAACTATTTATGATACATGCAGTCTATATATAGCCCTTCCTTGTCATGCACATCCTTGTGATGTTTGGCATTGATGTAATTTTCTATTACTTCAAACTGTAAAATTTGCAACAAACTAAATTATAATAAAAATAAAATGCTTTCTTTAAACCAAACTACAATGTTCCTCTTATTTTTGGCGAATTTATGTTAGAGTATTTTGCAAAAATAAGTTGCGGTGCATGATGGGATTTTGCATCAGTTTACATGATTCCATTTCATTGCCCACATGCCACCTAGAGTCCCAGTGAATGCTGACACACCGCTGAGCTTTCATGTATTCATTCTTGAAGAGCTGCCTGTCTGCCTCTATATTGTATTGTTTTATGTTGGTGTTTTTAACAACACTCTGGCTTACGTTGTAGACCTAGTATGTGTGTTTGTGTGTGGGTGGGTGTCTGGTTGGCTTTGTGCAAGTGTCGACTGAAGTGAAAAAAATCCCAGGGCCGAAAAATCTTTCCCAGTCCGAGCTTGCTCTAGCCTGATTGTTATAGTCTAAAAAGCTTGTGTCCAGGATGTGTGGGTTCTGCAGAGATGTTAGCTGCTCTGTGCCTGACCCTAAACCTGCACAACTTCTGGGCAGAAGGAAGCTCAGCAGATCATTACTCAGATAGATTTAAACATTAACATTAATGCAACCTGTCATCCAGAGTAACATCCATCCATCCATTTTCGCTTATCCCAAGTAGAGTCGTGAGGGGTGCTGGTGCCTATCTCCAGCTGTCTACAGGCGAGAGGCGGGGTACACCCTGTACAGGTTGCCAGTCCATCGCAGGGCTCCAGTGTAACAAAGCTTAAATAATCAACTACATCAGAATAACTTTTTTTGTAATGAAAATATAGTTTTTTTTATTGTATTTCATTTTGGATCTTATGATAAAGTTACAATTTAGCAGAACAGAAACGCCGTCACGGAATAGGTTGCAGTCAAATGGTTGAAACATTCACTTTTTGAGAAGCTGTCTTCACTTCCATTGAAAAATTACTAAACGAGATCACTTCCACAACACATTTCATGACACTAGGACATTACAATTAGCAAGTATTGGCTTTAGAAAAATTTATTTTTTTGCATCACAAGAGAGTTAATATTAGAGTTAATGATTTTAAAATCAACTTAAAAGTAGGTATAAGATTAAACAAAATACCGGTAGTACAAAGTATAAAAGAAAGAAAGGTTTCAAATGAAAAACAATCTTTGATTTATAATCTTAAAACTTTGGCCTTAATGAATCAGTATTTTAAGCATGTATAATCAAATTACCTTTCTGGCAGCTGACACAAAAAACAAAAAAACTCAGAGCCAAATTAAAACACATTCAGAATAATAAAAAAAAGTGGTATTGCTCCTGTATCTTGCCTCAGTAAGATCAGATGAGTCTAAAACACACAGGTGCTGTAGACGGTGGCTTTTTGGCTGATTTCCTGCAGCAGTTCCTTCACGGCTGCTTCCAGCTCAACCAACTGTTCAGCTTTCGTCTCAAGAGTTCGCTGATTGTCTTCATATGACTTTTCCAAATCTGAAACAAGACGAGTCATTAGTTTTTACAGTTAGGCAGCTGTTGTGTTCTGTAGGCAACTGAAAGGTATAGAGGAAAATCTTTTATTTCTGGGTGGATCATCTACATAAGTTGTACCCCTAATTGTCAATCATTCTGGTTAAATGTCTATGTAAGGCTGTCCTATAGATATATAGGACAGTATGAGAAGAACAGAAAGGCTTCAGAAGAGGTATATATCCCAGAATGCTTTGCGTGGGGTGCTCTCATTGCAAAGCATTATGGGATTTGCTGTCACAGCGGCCTGCTGTCACTCTAGGCTGTCGCTACCCGACAGCAGCGACTATTAATAAAGATGGCGCAGGCACTGTGCAATGGAGGAGGAGTTACGTGAGCTATGGGGAGCAAAAAGCAGTGATTATCTGTCTGAACAGTCAGTTAAGTCCACTATATAGTCCCCACTCTGTGTAGTGATTGAGGGATTTAGGGGTTAGGGCGAATGCTCGGGCACAGTAAGCTTGTATACAGGTGCTGGTCATAAAATTAGAATATCATGAAAAAGTAGATTGATTTCAGTAATTCCATTTAAAAAGTGAAACTTGTATATTATATTCATACATTACATACAAACTCATATATTTCAGATGTTTATTTTGTTTAATTTTGATGATTACAAATGACAACAAATGAAAATCTCAAATTCATCATATCAGAAAATTAGAATATTACTGAAGACCAATAAAAACAAAGGATTTATAGAAATGTTGGCCAACTGAAAAGTATGAACATGAAAAGTATGAGCATGTACAGCACTCAGTATTTAGTTGGGCCTCCTTTGGCCTGTATTACTGCAGCAATGCGGCGTGGCATGGAGTCGATCAGTCTGTGGCACTGCTCAGGTGTTATGATAGCCCAGGTTGCTCTAATAGTGGCTTTTAGCTCTTCTGAATTGTTGGGTCTGGTGTATTGCATCTTCTTCTTCACAATACCCCATAGATTTTCTATGGGGTTAAGGTCAGGAGAGTTTGCTGGCCAATTAAGAACAGGGATACCATGGTCCTTCAACCAGGTACTGGTAGCTTTGGCACTGTGTGCAGGTGCCAAGTCCTGTTGGAAAATGAAATCTGCATCTCCAAAAAGTTGGTCAGCTGCAGGAAGCATGAAGTGCTCTAAAACTTCCTGGTATGTGGCTGCGTTGACCCTGGACCTCAGAAAACACAATGGACCAACACCAGCAGATGACATGGCACCCCAAACCATCACTGACTGTGGAAACTTTACACTGGACTTCAAGCAACGTGGATGAAGTGCCTCTCTTCTTTTCCTCCAGACTCTGGGACCTTGATTTCCAAAGGAAATGCAAAATTTACTTTCATCAGAGAACATGACTTTGGACCACTCACCAGCAGTCCCGTCCTGTTTCTCTTTAGCCCAGGCAAGACGCTTCTGACGCTGTCTGTGGTTCAAGAGTGGCTTGACACAAGGAATGCGACAGCAGAAACCCATGTCTTTCATACGTCTGTGTGTGGTGGTTCTTGAAGCACTCACTCCAGCTGCAGTCCACTCTTTGTGAATCTCCCCCACATTTTTGAATGGGTTTTGTTTCACAATCCTCTCCAGGGTGCGGTTATCTCTCTTGCTTGTACACTTTTTTCGACCACATCTTTTCCTTCCCTTCGCCTCTCTATTAATGTGCTTGGACACTGAGCTCTGTGAACAGCCAGCCTCTTTAGCGATGACCTTTTGTGTCTTGCCCTCCTTGTGCAAGGTGTCGATGGTCGTCTTTTGGACAACTGTCAAGTCAGCAGTCTTCCCCATGATTGTGTAGCCTATAGAACTAGACTGAAAGACCATTTAAAGGCTTTTGCAGGTGGTTTGAGTTAATTAGCTGATTAGAGTGTGGCACCGGGGGCCATCAATTTTGAACCTTTTCACAATATTCTAATTTTCTGATATGATGAATTTGAGATTTTCATTTGTTGTCATTTGTAATCATCAAAATTAAACAAAATAAACATCTGAAATATATGAGTTTGTATGTAATGTATGAATATAATATACAAGTTTCACTTTTTAAATGGAATTACTGAAATCAATCTACTTTTTCATGATATTCTAATTTTATGACCAGCACCTGTAAGCTATGACAACAGCAACTTTTAAACAGAACGAGTGAGAAGTGGGCTCAAGCACTCGTTTAATAGGCGTTCCATTTCGGGAGCGGGTACAAGGTTGTGCATGTGCATTTTTTTTTAAGTGGAACAATGCCTTTAAAAAATAAAATGCATGGAAACTAAATGCGGTTCTGATGACCATTACCCTGTGTAAGCTCTGGGTCCTGGACAGAAGCACAAAAATGTTACTACCTTGCTGACTGAATCATTGAAAAGGTCTTCACAGAAAGATAAAGTTATCCATTTCCCATTCACTGGATTTTGGTTTTATGACAGTTTTTAACATGAAATACTTTATCTGAGGAGGATTTAGTGGCCCACTTTCCACAGCTTACAAACACATACTTCGCTAGCTATCTTTAGAGGTTGCCATGGTGAATCTATGATTCAATGTAATACACTGATGATGATTGGGCTTGCCAAAGTGCGTAACCAGGAAGCACCTTCCATTTTGTTTTGTCATTTCAGAGCTGCAAGTGGGAAATTTAAATTTAAACAGCGTTTAAATTCGAGGCAAGACGACCATACCCAGCTTACAAATTCAAAATGGCTGCTTCTTGCATCAACAGTGGTCATAATGTCCTAGTTTGAGACATATCGTCTTCTATACAACTGACCTAATGTTGCATACATCAAAAAGACTTTCAACAGCCGTTTATAGATGCAAAAATAGAGAACAGTGTTTTTTTTGCAATAGGAAGAGCAATGGAGAATACAAGCAGGAGTTTCCAGTTCTGAGGGCAGTTGAGATAGATGTGAGTGGATCTCGGCTGGTCTCTTTCTGCTCAGGGTAACTGAATTCGTTGTTCATGGAGAACCCCCCCCCAGAGCTACTAGGCTGATGTAAACGGATAGGAGCAGTAAAATCACCTTTCAGCAGCTGCAGCTTGTCACTGGCCTGTAGCAGCAACTGTTTGGCTTCATTCTGTAGTGACTCTGCCCTCTTCTTAGCATCAGCCACACCCCCTGCTTTCTGGCCTATCAGCTGCTCCACTGTGCTGTACTTTTGCTTCACCTCCGACTCCAGCTCCTAAACACACACAAAGATATATCAACACAGGCAGAATTACAGAAACCTGTAAACTACAGGAACGATGAGCCAACCTTTTTGACATCCTTTGCAATCCTTCCGATCTCTGCAGCTTCTTGATCGGTCAGTTTGGCTTTCTGAGTGACATTTGCTGATTTATCAGTGAGCAGCCTCACATCTTGCTCCAGCCTCTGCAGTCTCTGGGTGGCGTTGTACAGCTTGGACTCAGCGTCCGCTGTCTCCGTCTCTACCTGAACACAGAATGAACACGAAATGCAACATGACATCAAGGTATGATATGTCAAACAATTCCTCTGTATTGGTGACTGGTACTGACAGAGGAGAGAAGCTTGGTTGTAGTCTGAATGTCGGAGGCGGCCTGCTGGATGGCGCTGCTGGCAGCGGTGTGAGCTCTCTGGGCTTCTTCCAGAGCTTGTTTCACTCTCTCTGCAGAGTCCTTCACATCTGTCGCCTGCTTACTGAGAAAGGGAAATCAAAAGCATACGCTGTGGATGCTGTAAAAATTCAATCCAGTGCCTCAAGTTTTCCGTCCTGGCTGTGAAGCAGTCACCTTGCTTGGCGAGCCTGGTCCAGCAGAGTCTCTGCTCTCTGGATGTCGTCAGTGCTCTGCTGTAAGATTGCCTCTACGTTTCCCAGCTCCCCCACCCTGTGCCGGATCTCATCCGTAAGGTTCTGTAGCTGAGCTGGTGTGGTCGGCATTTGCATGGCCAGAACTTCACTTGCCACAAGTTCAATGCTTTCCAGGTCAGCAGCATCCTCTGAAAAGGCCAGATGTTTAAATTCACTTTATAGTCTCTAAACGTCATGATTTCCCACAAAGGTGGTATGTCAGGAAGTGGAGGAGAAATTGTAATAAAAACTAGAAGAAAAAAAAGAGAGATCTGTTTCAAAGCAGGTGAAACATACGTGTGAGGAAATCTTTGATTTGTCTGATTAAGCTCCTCAGCTCCTCGTTGCTCTGGTCAACTTTGTGTTTGGTTCTGTTGGTCTTCATCAGGACATTCTGAGCACTCAGCTTTGCCCCATCAGCCTGCATCTTCACCTCGGACACCTGAAGAGAATGTCTGCGTGAAAACTGTCCCAAACGTCCACATCATATGACAAAAACCAGGACTAGGATGACCCACCATCTTTGAAAGCTTCTCCACCTCTGCCATGGCGCTGATGATTTCCTTCTCAGTCTCCTGGGTCTTTAATAGGATGCTGTTGGCTGCTGTCACTGCACCATCACATCCCTCTCCTCCACACCTGGCCTGACCGTCAGGGTCTACACAGCCCAGACCTCCGCAGGAAGAAGACCAACAGGACTCTTGGCCAGAGGATGGGCTGCCACAGGTCTGCATCAACAAGGAGAATAAAAAATTAATGGTGTTGAGATCATGTGGGAAAGAATATTTGCCTGAAATGGGTGTTTTTTCCAGACAACAAACCTAAACACATAGTAACTATGGTTCTAGGAATCCCTGATGACCGCCAAAAATGATCTGTCACTCAGAATCCTTGCTTCCGCGAGAGGATTCTGTAGGTATAGAGCCCTGTATAACAGCAGCATATATAGCTTCTGAGTCGTCATCAAACTGCAAGAAGCAAACAGCGACCCCCCCTTCTGGTGGTCATCCGAGATTCATAGAAGCATAGTTACATACTATCCACCTATGGTAAAAAGAAAATGTCTTTCTTAAGGGTTTAATTTTTAAACGCAGCTTTTACTAGTTTTTTTTTCCCTGCTTTTGGGGGTTTTATCCTCCAACCTTGTAGCTGATCACTGAAAGGTCCAATGTCTCCATCTCTCCTGCTAGGTTGTCCAGCTTCCGAGCATGTTCAGAGTGCCTTTCCAGAAACTCCTCCCTGCTCTGGTTCAGCTTGTCCTCCGTGAGTTGCCGTAGAGCAGCAGAAGTTTCAATTGGACTTCCAGCTTCGATGGTTGAGGCATTTGCTCGAGCCTCGGCTTCCTGAGACTGCAGGAAGTACTTGGTGACGGTGTCTGTTGCTCCTGGTAACAGACAGAAAACAGAAATGTCAAATTGTAGGGACATTTTTGGGTTTATAGGCAACATGAAAGCCCTTTGGGAAACTCCAACTCCCATTGTCATTGTGACACAGCACACACAAGTGAACACTGCGCACAATGAAATTGCATTTATGCCTCACCCGTGCAAGGGGGCAGCCCTCAAATGGCGCCCCAAGGGAGCAGTGTGGCGGGACGGTACCATGCTCAGGGTACCTCAGTCATGGAGGAGGATGGGGGAGAGCGCTGGTTAATTACTCCCCCCACCAACCTGGCGGGTCGGGAGTCGAACCAGTAACCTTTTGGGATCCAAGTCTGACACCCTAACCGCACCGTTTTATAAATCTGTGTAAAATATTCAATAGCTTTAACAGGGTTAAGTTGATGGAATCTCATTCTTATAATGAACTATTTTAAATATTTTTAATTAACGCTTTTTAGCAACATCATACAGTGATGTAATGATTCCTACAAGTTAATAAGTTTTGCTTTGATCTTCCAATTTAACAACAATAATTTTGTTGTTTGTTGCATTGAAGTAGGGTTCTTACTATGTTGCCTCCTGAATTAAATCATCTGGGTACTTATCCTTAAGTTTAAACGAGAAAACAAAGTAGATCAGGTGAGCAATCAATTCATAAATTTTTTTATTTATAACTTCTGCAGTAATGTTTCTCTTTCTTTAAAATTATTTGGAAACTGCTTTTAAAATGCTTTTATATTTACTTGTTGCTTAGGAAGATAAAAAATATATATATTCTTTGTTTGCTTTAGCAATGTACTTTCTGGATTTTATTCATTTGTATTATTTGTATTTAAACAAACATAAACCGATTGTTATGAACAGTTAAACTTACTGGCTAATAACCAAGTACAGATCTGTGGTTTGTAGATGACATAACGGCTTGTTTTTATGCTTTCTTACACCAGAGAAAAATGATGCCTTGATGCCGTTTAAACGCTACTCAGCCTTAATCTAAAACTCCATACCTCAAGTTTACTGACTGGTTCATTTTTTAGCAGGAGAACAACCTCAAAAATATTTTCAATGATCATTACACAATCAGAGAGGTACAGAGAGTCAGGCGTTGTTACAGAACCCGGCTGTGATGTGGATGACTAAATGATTAGAGTTCAGAGATCCACCTGCAGGTGGCGACACAGCACAGGGATCCGATCCAGTCTGCATAGCAATTAGTGCTGCAGAAGCCTGTTAATCACCCCTTTGTAAAACTCAGGTGTGTCAGCCAGGACAGTGAACTCTATAGCATGGAAGGAAGAAGTGCACAATTTATGCGACTATAACTTCAACTTCACTGGAGCTTTTAGATACAATCCTTTCTAAATAGACCTACATATAAATGAACAGCACAGTGCCTCTCAGTGATTTCACACTAAGGGAGTGCATTGCTGTATTTCCAAGATCTTTATCTATATATTATATATTACTAAACTAGTTGCCGCTTATTTCCCATAATGGGTTTTACTGCTTTAAGTTCAAAACGATTATCTTTAACAGCTCTACATGCTGCTCTTCTTCTGCGAGCTTCAACTCTTACCTCTGATATCAGAGTTCTTGATGAACTCCACTTGGTCCAGTAGCTCCTGGACTGTTTGTTCCAGTTTCTGAGCATCTGACATCACAGAGTCCAGTTTAGTTTTCATGCCGGACTCCTGCTCCCCAACCAGACCCAGAGTCTCCTCTGTGTCGTTCATAGCCTGACTCAAGGCTGACATCAGGTCGCTGAGACACAAATGGAGGTTAGATTCCACCTTCAGCTGGGACATTTTAAGATTTAGCTCTGCAGGTCAGAGTGGATCCTACCTGGCCTGCTGCAGCAGAGTCTGGACTTCAGTCAGAGGTTGGGAAGCCGGGTTTTGGTCCAAGATGGCCCGGACATCAGCAGCGCTTCTCTCCATACTCTCTATAGACTTCCTGTAAGGCCCGCTGATTCCACTAGCTTTAATGGCGTTGACCTTGTTGACCATTCGGTGTGTCTGGTTGGTCAGCTGGCCGATGATGTCGTCCCACTCTGAGAAACACTGGTGACACCGCTGACAGTCAGGGAAGGTTCCATGGAAGCCGCGGGCGCAGACATCACAGCGGGGTCCAGCCACACCCTCCAGGCAGACGCAGTGGCCGCTGACTTTGTTACACTGTGGCTCCAGGATCCCACGAGGGTCGCAGTCACAAGCTGAGGAGACAGCAGTCGCCACTTTATCCTGATTTCCAGCAGTTAATGACACAACTTTACTTTCTTCCATGAAGCAGGACAAAAAGCTGGTTATGTAAGAACTCCAGCACCACATGAAATGCTGAGAAAAGAACTATCATAAAAGACAAGTGTGTCGCTTTATTTTGTTTAATTGAAACCCTTTTGTACCAATGGCTTAATCTCACCAAGGTGGAAGTAATCAGGGGTCAACCCCCCCCTGCAGGATGATGACGGTTCAACCTCACAGACCAGGATTCATTCCAGTCTGTCTACAAACCTGTCTCTCTTGTTAAACAAATACTTTTTAGCCTACATTGGTGAAAAAAAAAACAAAGTGACTATAAAAGACTAGTTGCACAATTAGAAGTAGATTGGCTGTCTTACCTAGGATTTATTCTATAGTTGGACCAGAGCATAAAAATGTATACCGATTCTGGGCGTAAACTTTCCATCTAGATTCTTTTATGTTTTATATCACAAATCAGCAGGTGGCCCTTCATTGTAGGTAAAACTATTTAAAATCAGACAAAACAGGGTTTTTTTTGTTTAAATTATTTTTTCTAGACTTTAAATACACATACACCACTTATTATGGTCCATAAGAAGCAAGAAACAGAAACATGTTAACCTCTGTTGATGGAGTCCTCACAGTTACCTGATTCTGAAACTTTGACTAGACCATCAACCGCTGAGCTTAAAGTTATTGCTGTAGATTCTCAGTCATCTGGGACATGAGGATCCTAAGGGCTATATGAATTTAAGATGAGAGATATTTACATTTCAAGAGAGGAACTCCAGTTGCCTTTAACTTATTACACTGCACAAAATAAAATAAGCACATATTCCCCAAATGTGAGCAGCTAAATAGGATGTTCTACCATCTTATTTGAATGAGCATTTTCGCTCTTAAAATAGGATAAATTAGTGTCATTTGGTGGGATAAAACAAAGCTTATGGACATCTGTGCACACACTTCACTAAACTGTGTGCTCAGTTTTGCAATCTTTGCACACGGATTCTGTGCTCTCAGTTTGTGCAATCTGTGCAGGCAGATTACTCGGGGACATCTGTCACGTTTTATTTCAGTCTAAATAAAGACCTATTTCAAACTCAGCATGATGCTGCTTTATATATGACAATAGATTTACTAAAAACATGCATCCAAACTCTCTATAGATATCTGCACACGTGGATTGCAAAACGGAACACAGTTTAATGAAGCGTGAGCACAGATTCCCACCAGCTCTGTTGTTTTTTCCACTAGCTGACTCCTTCCAGGCTCTGAAATTTATTATTCATTTCAAGAGATAATGGAGTTTTTTTTCCCTCATTTTAAAATAAATTATTCTTTTGGCAAATTCTTTTACTTAGCTTCTCAAATGAAATGAAAAAACACATTTCAAGAAGCATTCACTTACATTTTTAACAGTGTGGGATCATGTTTTCAGTTCAAAGGTGGAGGGCTTTTTGTTTGGTTTTCTGCAGTAATTAAAATCAGTTAAAGCACACATGTTCAATGCTTTCCTTGTAGGGGCCTTTTCTTTAGCTGGTGTCTAGTAAAGCCAACAGATGGCACCAGATAGGAGTTATGATTTTTTCCTGGATATCACAAAATTAACACATTTACTTCTACATCAGCGGAAAAAATAAAATAAAAAAATCCCTCTGCACATTTTTTTCAGTCGCTGTGATGAATCTACTCTTTTGTTGGATCTGTTAAGAACCTACCCCTCATATATGCAGATTTAAGTCAGATCAAATGATCGCTGTGTGCTTGTGCGTCAGACGGCTGGTTTCAATTAAGAAACAGCTGCTATCTACTGTAGAAATTAACGGAAACAAACAGGGGACTTTACTCTGATCAACTCTGAACATATAAAAAACCCCAACAGGTACAGCTGGATTTGAAAAAGACAGGATTTTAGAGTACTATATCCAATATTTTTCTTCCTTTGCTGTAGATATTTCTGTTTTTAATTCTCAGTATACGCCCTCAGGACACACCTGCTCCTTTTTTATGCTGTTTTTGTTCTGTTATTTTAAACGTTGCACTATTTCATCTCTATTCTCATCACTCTCCTAAACTACTTGCTTTTGTTCTTTCCATTTTATATATTTCTGAATTTGGTGTATAGCATCTTGACCACAGGACAAATTAAACAGCTCTTTCTGATCTATCCAGGGTTATTTACCCAGAGCGAACATTTGAAGCTGCTCGCACATCTGGATTCAATCCGACTGCAGCAGAGAAGTTCTGTGAGCCAAGACATTTCCCACAATGCAGTGTGGGGGTTTTCCTTTTACATGCAGTTTATAATATGTGAGAACTATGGATTCCATCATTGTGGTTTTTAGGGGGAAAATATTTTCAAGAACCTAAAGAATGGAAATAATCTAGTTTTACAATAATTCAGGAAGAAATATGTAACATAAAATTGCTTTCCAAGTCATTGTGGGAATTTAACAGACTACTCTTCAGAGAAACTCTCTAAATCGTTTTGTGTTTTTTCTTGCTGCTGTTTGGCAACTTAAATATTCCCACCTCCTCTACAAATTATCTGCAGTGCTGTGATCTGAACCTCCACTAGGCCTTTTTTGGTAGACATGCAATTTGAAGTCTTAGATGTGTATTCAAAGTTATTGTCACACTTAATGACTTATCAGTGTCTTAACTCTTTTCTTAAATTTCACAAAAAGTGAAATAACAGATTTGAAGCATTATGCTTCCACCTCCATGCTTCACCGTGAAGCATTTCTCTTTCTCTAAACATGGAAGGTCAGACCGATGCCACAAAGCTCGATTTTGGCCTCATCTCACCACAGCACCTCCCTCCACATTTTCTCTGATCTACGTTTTAAAAGGGAAACTCAAGAGATCATCTGCAAATGCTTAAAGTAATGAGCTGCTTGTAAAATGGCCACATTAATAATCTGAGGGAGCCTTAACTCTGCTCTTTGCTTTTTTGTCCCTCAAAAATTTAGAAGCAGAAGCCCTGAAAATGTTTTTGTCTGCAGCAGTTCTGATTGATATTCCAATTAAACTTACCTCGACACTGAAGTTCAGGGTCCCCCCAGAACAGCTCTCTGCACTCGTTACACGTCCTTCCTCCAAAACCAGGATGGCAGGAACACTGACCGCTGATCTGTGGGAAATCAACCATGCCATTAATATTCCATTGCTTTTCCTGCAAAAACAGTATTTTAAAAATGTAAAAATAAATCTCTGAATGTAATAGAAGTTAATCAAAAGCCTTATGAATTGAATTAGTTATTTTTTTAGATTAAATTATTCGAGGCTTAAACAAAATCTGATGACTGTGAGGACAGTTTCAGAGTTTCAGAAAGGTATTCAGCACCTCGTTACAGGATGTCCCTAATGAGTGTTTGGGGTCGCAGTCGCAGCTCTGACAGCCGGCGCCGCTGGCCATGTTCCAGGTATCTGCGGCGCAGCGGTCGCAGTGTTGACCGATAACGTTGGGCAAGCAGTTACACTGACCGCTGCTGCGATCGCAGTGGCAGTCGCTGGAGGACGGACAGCTGGACTGGTTGGTTCCCAGTGTGTTACAAACACACTCTGTGATCACAAAAAAAAAATAAAAATTAACACTAATCATTTCAGCTGAATTTCCAAAATTTTAAAAAGAATTATTTTCCAAATTTATTTTTTACTTTTCTGGTGTTTAAACATCTAGACAGAGTCTAGATAGTCACTGAGGTTTCCTAATTCACCTACATTTTATCTCAAAATTGCATTGTTTCTGGTTTTAGTGACAATAAAATATAATATTGCACAAATTAAGAGATATTACCTTTAAACTGAGCTTCAGGTTAAAAACCAATGTGTGATTTCGAGCCAGTTCTTTTACTGGTTTACTGTAGGTTTTTACCAGTTCTGTTGGATCATACCACTATGAGCCGGTTCTACAAGGGTCTGTGTGAACTCACTTCGGCAATCCTGGACAAAGGCGTTGCCGTAGTAACCCAGCTTGCAGTTCTGGCAGGCGGGGCCTTCACTGTGGTACAGACATCTCAGGCACTCTCCGGTTCTGGCGTCACAGGACTCCGGGTCCAGCATGTCAATGTTGTTGTTGCACTGGCATGGGAGACATTGGCCCCCTACCTCGTCGGGGTTTCCATAGTAACCAGGTGAACACTGATCACAACGAGCACCTGTGGAGGACCAGAACTTTTGTTAGAGGCCAGATTATTGGGTTCCTCGAGATTAATGTCTCTGTTTTTAGAACTGGTCCTGCACAACAGCAAACCTCTGCAGAGCTGCAAAACAAGTCAAAGTTAACATAATACAGCGACAAAGCCCAAATTAGGAGCAGCACGTTTACCTTAAAATAGATCTTATAGCCAAAACAGAGGATATGACTAATGTGAAAAATAAGAGAACAAAGATCTACTAAGTTCAGAGAAAATTCTGGACACTGAAGAGGAACCAAGGATCCACCAATCAGAGCAAAAGTTTCATTGTAGCTCATATTGATGCCATTAGGTCATGTGATTAAAGCCAAACAATCTACTGAAGAATTGACTCAATCTGCTGATTAGACAGGCCAAGCAGAACAGTGAATAGGAAGCAGACGTGACAGAAAACAAAAATTTAACTGCAAAATAAGGAATAAAAATCCAAAAAATTAAGGTTTGCTTTGGTTTTCTGTAGGAAAAAAACCTAAAACACTTGTTTATTTATGGAGTAGCAGTGGAAACCAGACATTTAGATAAACTGTGTAAAGAGAGACAAACATCTGTTTATCCGACATTAACCCAGACTAAACTTTGCCTGCTTTAGGTCAGGATTATAACATTTCTTTTCGTATATTCCATATTCTGCAAAGCTATGGTATCAGGAAAAATTGCAGACTGGAACTTCTTCAGGAACAGATTTTAGATGTTTCAACAATCATTTTTTAACACTACAATCTGGAAGAAAATAAGAAGCCTTCATACTGTTCTAGAATGAGACGGGTTCAGATCTTTTTGGTGAAACATTTGGATACTGGCCTCAAGAATAATGCAGTAAAACAAATCTTGTACTACGATGGACTGAAGGCTACATGATGAGGAAGAACATGTTTCAAAAGCAACATAAAAACTGCCGCAAATGCTGTTAGAGGGGGAAAAAAAAACATACTTTTTGGATTAATGCCCAGTGGGATTTGATGAGATCAACATTTAAGTACTTGGATACAATGACGGATGACAACATTGTTACTGCAGGAAGGACAGAAGGCATCAAATTCAAATTACGGTAAGTTAAAATTCAAAAATACTTTATTAATCCCAAAGGGAATGTTTTTATATATATATATATGATTAGGTTGAAGAAGAGTTGTGGGAAGTGACCACAGTCATAGATAAAAGCATCAATGATTGATTTAAAAACAGGCAAAAAAAAGACTGAAAAAATACCTTTTACTGTTCTTGAATTAATCAAACAAGGACGAAAAGGGAACATGTAAACATCGGTTTGTTTCTTAGTATCAGGTTTCAGCTGTAACTCTGGCTCTGGTTTTTCTTTCCCAGTATTTAAGGCTGATGTCCACCACACAGGCTGAGAAACATCCTGCTGCTCCGCTTCTACCAAGACTCTGCTGGGCAAAGCTATAGGATTAAATCTGACATACAGACGTTTAATCACCTCTCAGCAAATATTTCTGCTGTCAGATGCAAACAAAGAAGAAAGTTGGTGATTCATGCGTCTGTCAACAGCTGATTTCAGCCTGAACGTCTTATTTCCTGCTTTAATAACAGACCCGACGTCTCAACATGTCCCCGCTCTCAGAGTTTCCATCAGACTGAATAACAGAGCAGCTTCTCCTCAAATTAAAAGCTTTTCATGTCTGTGTACAGCAGCGGTCAGGATCATAAAACAATCCTCAGAGGAACATCTGGAGCTCAGAGCTGATCCCTCGTCTACACACTCACTGAAGGAGGCTGTACCTACTATAAGCAGAGAGGAGACCAGTCATGCACTGGGGGTTTTCATGCATTTAGCATCTATGACTTGAACCCAGTGACCTGCCTGTGATGCTGACCCCACAAAATTTACATTTTTATTCTAATTGAGATAAACTGCAACAACCAATCCAGCAGACGACCAGCTCAGTCAGTCAGATTTAAAGGACGTTTAATAATCTTCACAGGAATCTTTTTTTTTTATGTTTGATGAATCCACTAATGCAGTAAATAAGTGTTAGTAAATAATCTTTGGAAATTTATAATGCTGTTTGGCATTTCTAATACCTTGTCAGATCTCATACAGATATGCTGTGATGCCTTCAAATTACAACCTTAAAATTAGTGTGTTAGGAATCTGTGCTGGGGAAAGCTGGAATTAGGACGTTAGTTCATTAAAGCAGAATACTATAATGATGTTTTTTTCCCTTTTTTCAGCGAGACCATGCTTAAAAATGCATATAGTACCTAGATATTAGTTAAAACTCATAGGAAAAAAAGAGCAATAAGATTTAAAGTGAAGTCATCTAGTGTTTAAATGTGTTTCCTGGACGGGGCGCCTTTTACAGCTGTTTTTTGTATCTCTGCTTCTGTCTCCTTGAACCCCAGTCGGCCTTGACAGATGGCCGCTCACACTGAGCCTGGTTCTGCTGGAGGTTTCTTCCTGTTAAAAGGGAGTTTTTCCTCTCCTCTGTCGCTACAAGCATGGTTATTGTGAGGGATTGCTGAATAGTCAATGAGTCGATACAATCAACTGGTTTTCCTTAGATAGAAAACTTAGAATCAATGTGACTGTATGATCTGGTGAACTGAGAAGTACCTTGACATGACGTGCTGTGGATTTGCGCTATATAAACAAACTGAATTGAATTTAAATTAACCATAGTTTAAACGTCTTGGGACAGTCACCCATACTTTAAATATTTTACTGACCTTTTTATATTTCAGTTTCTTTAACTACCAGAAAACGTATTCAACACAGACAGAGAATCTTTGTTTCTGGCTTAAAAAAAACATGAATATTGCTCAAGAGGGAAACTCCTCTGGTCCAGACATTGGAAATGTAAATAAGAGATTTTTGCTCTTACTCCTCTTGAGAAGATGACTCATAATCTTAATTTTAATTCCCTAGCAATCCTACATGCAAGTTATAATCCATCACCTGTCCTTCAGAGTAGAGGACTGACTACCTTTTCATGTTATTTCGTTTAAATATACTGTTTACAAACTTGCCTTATCTTGCATTGTGGAAATTTCTTTTGTGTATGTATATATATATATATATATATATATATATATATATATATATATATATATATATATATATGTGTACATTTATAGATAAATACTTTGTATTGCAGCAATCAATGTTAGCTTGAGGTGGAATTTTCTTTGTATATTTTGTATTTTTGCTTTGTTTACTTTTTATAATGTTTTTACTCCTCAAACTGTAAATTCAGTCAAAACTATATTCTGCAGTTAATTTAAAGAGGAACGGAGGATTTTTGCATGCAAACCGTTTCTGAGTGTGTGCTTTAATCTTAATGCCGATCATATTCTATGACCAAACTGAAATAAAGTTATGAGTGGAAGATATGTAAATGTAAACATTTACTACATGCAAAGCAATTTCCTAAATCAGAAACTCAACTTCACAGCTGTCTTTTCTTGGTACTTCTGAAGGATATAAAACAATGTTGTTGTTTTTTTTTTTTTTTACTTTAGCTTGTAGCACTTTGACATAGGCTGGATATTGGAGGTGCATTATAGATATATTAAGTATCGTCCGTATCAATTATGTAATAATTATCCTTATTACCTCCAACTAAATGGCTTTGAACCTCATCTTTCTTTTTGTCCACTCTCAAACTACCTGTAGGACAAGCAGCCTAATTTTAATGAGTGCAGCCAAAACCTTTTGCACTTGAAAATTTAGGCATCCATCTTTGCAGATTGAGAGCAACACACCTACTTATAATACCTGCAAAAAAAAAAAATGCATGTGCAATTAAGGACCTCTTATTTGTTTTGTTTTTTGTTTTTGGTTTAGTTGAGACTGCCTTGACTTTAAAAGAACTCTGATTATAAATCTGCAGGAACTGTTCAGTTCACAGTTCCCTCATGGATTTGGACCCTGATTGGAACAAACCAAACCATTACTGCAGGAAGCTCTGCGTTATTGTTATTGTCAGTCTATGTGACTGTGAATAATTTTTCACCTTTGTATCCTGGGTTGCAGACGCACACGACCTGCTCCGAAGTGTCGCTACGGTAACAACTTCCGGCAAACTGACGCAAACTGTTGGGGCCATCGGGACACAAACATGGACGACAGTGGTCACCTGATCCCAGCACTGGATCGCCATAGTAACCATCCAGACACCTAAATATGTTGGATGGGACAAGCTGGGTTAGAGAAATCGAGCCTTTGTGCAGATCGTGTTCCTTTGGGTCACCTGGGCACACCTGTCGCAGCTGTGTCCGGTGGTATGGTCCCTGCAGGCAGTGCAGCGGCCGGTGTCGGCATCACAGGTTTCTGTGTGTCCGTTACAGGAGCAGGGACGGCAGGACGGGAAGCCCCAGTGACCCGGGAGGCAGCGATCGCATTGCCGACCGTATGCCCCGATGACGCAGACACACTGACCGCTCAGCTGATCGCAGATTGGACTCTGGGAACCCTGAGGGTCACATGCACAATCTGCAAAACACACAACACCATAAGTGCCTCATTATTTCTTCTTCTGCACATGGTGATCATCGCATTATCACATAATCTGTGTATTTATGAATTGATGTTTGACCTTTGCAGCCGTTTGGTCCAAACTGGAAAGTAGCCGGAGCACATCTGTCACAGCTCCTGCCCACCACATTGGGTCGGCACTGACACTGGCCCCCGATGGGATCACACACTGTGCTGAGGGAGCCCTGCGGGTCACACTGGCATTCTGGGAAATGGAGTCCAACACAAGGGACAATTCAAAACACTTAATCTGCACATCCTGGGAGAGACGTGAGGAATTTATGAGCTCAGAGGAACACGAAGAAGAAACAAGTTGAGTCTTGCTAAGGAAGTGAGGCTGGAGGCAGCAAAGTGATGAGGGGCATTTAGGAATTATCTGAAACAATGGGTCAGTGTTAAAGCAGCTGTGAAGGAGGAGGCAGCAAAAGAAGAGGTGATGAAATCTGATGGATTTAAAGAAGGGAAACAATGCTTCATGTTACATGTAATCACATCTTGATTCTGGAAGTTACAAAAATAAAAACATTTTTCAATCGTTTTCTGGTTCAAACCGCATTCATACAGATCTTCCTGTTATTTTTATTATAGTTAGAAATAAATCGAAGTGACTGATATAATCAGCTCTGATTCAGAGCCCAGCTAGAATCAAACCCAGAGGGGAATTCCTGGCTTCAGCCTGATTGGGCCAGGTCAAAGGTCAGAGTCAGGGGTTAACCAGAGACATTCCTCAGACAGCGGGAAACACCTTTCCTCAACAATCACTGTGCTTAACTGAGCTTAACTCTACCTCTAGTTCTAGGTGGATTAGGTTACCTTTAGCTCCCTGGTGCAACAGAGCAGAGATGCTGAAGATGAAGTTCCTACAGATGTCAGTCATTGGGGTCTTAACGACACTCTGGCTGTTTTCCAGACACCGATACTTCTGAAATGTTTCCCAAGCGCTAGAATCCCCTCCCTCAGAGGAGGTGAATATGTCCAGGTTCTTACAGTGAGGCATCAGCACGATCTGTGAGATGGAGAAAAAAAAAACAGCTGAATCCAAAGATATGCAGGAATAAAGCCGGCAGTCTCCTCCTCCATGCAGAGGCAGTCCACACCAGTTTCTATGAGATTAATACTTTTAACAGAAATATTTTTTAAACATCATATGGAGATGATTTGTCACAAAGTGGTATTAAGACTTTTATGCAGATAGTAAGCAGTAAGCTTTGTTTTATAAAGACTGCAATCCAGGAAAAAGAGCAAAACCAAAAAAAGAGAGGGACAAATCAAAATGGTAATGTTAGATATGAAAAGGACAATAAAACCCATTAATTAATTAAATGTATAAGTAATGATAACAGACAGAGAAGAGAAAAAGATGGGGGGGGTTGTAAGATAAATCATAATATGTTGCCTGTTCAGCTGGTTACATTAACTCTCTCATAGTGTTGTGTAATTTTAAATTGATGCTTTCCGCTCTGTTTATTAGTCTGCATGTTAAACCCTCCAGTGCAGCCAGCTTGGTTAGGTTTACGTGCCAGCGGCTGACAGAGGGGAGATGCCTCCCATTCTGGAACTATAAGTTCCAGCCCCTGCATCAGAGCCACCTGGACCCATTCTGGAATGTGGGGTGGGAGATCATCAAGTTGAGATGTGTCCCCCAGGATGAAAAACCTCTGAGAAAAGGGTGTATCCCATATTATAACATTTGTAACACTGCTATGAATCTCAAACCATCATTACAGCCTACAGCCTCCACTAACACACCATGCACCCCTGATTACTACTGGATAAAACCTGTAAAGACTCAGGGAAACACCCATCCTTACTGGATTCTTAGGGAGGAAACAAGGTGACATAAAAAAAATGCAGCGAACAGGTGAAGCTTCCTCACCGAGTCGATAAGCGTGTACGGAGAATGCACGTCACTGACAGCCGAATAGAGCGGCAGACTGAGTCGGATCGTGTAGGTCAGTCCAGTTTCAAAACAAACCGGCCTTGGCAGAACCACGTACCTGAGGACATAAAATGCATCATACATTTAAAACACTTATAACTACAGTCTCACCTTCTGTTTAATAAGAATTAATTATGTTGTGATCATCCAAAAAATTATTTGATGATATACTGAGGAGGTGATCAGACATTAATCCAAACATGTTTGGTGCTGGGATGCATCTAAAACATGTAGGAAAATGATTGTTAAGGACTTTAGTTTTCTTACCCTGGTCAAGGATCTGCTATCTTTCTCTGAACAACTTCCTTTAAGTGGGCCTAATACTAATTTGTATCCAACTTTAAAACATTCAGCAGAGATCTCATTATCCAGAAAATTCAAAATGTCTTCACTGGATGCTCTAGGTGGTACCAAACAGAACCAACCAATCAGGCGCAGGGCTGCTCACCGTGAGCTGGGGTGAAGGGAGATCATTTGGTTGTCATCGTCTGGCACCGTGTTGATACAGCGGCTGTCAGCTCTGATTGGTCCAGGCCTTATCACCGCCATCAGAACCTCCTCCCATTGATCAGGCAGCTGTAAAAGTACATCACAGTAAAGTGGAACAAAAAGTCAGACAAACACAGCTTTTCTGCTTATGCTACCTCATGATTTCTGAGGGACTTGAAAACCTCTGAGCTCAAACCTACAGTTCAACCAATAGGTGGCATCTCACCTGAGGCTCATAGCGGATGAGAATGTCATACTCCATGGAATGAGGGATGTTGTCTACAGTGAACTCCAGGAAGGCCCCTTCAGGAACATTTACTAGGCCAACACCTGTCCAGGTAGGACTGCGGTCATGAGGGTGGGGTCTGGGTACAACGGTCACTTCCTAAAGAGCCATTGTGAGGAGGGACAAGGTCAGAGGAAAACAGGGGTTCAGAATTCCACAAACATTACAAACAAGTCAAACACTCTAATTCTGATTCAATAATAGAAAGAAGAATAAAGATGTTAGGAAGACTGAGGAACAAGGACAACCATTTAAAGAAAATGGTGCATAAGAAAAATGCTGAGTTATAGTGAAAAACTGGAATAATTTAAGAAGCAGAAAATAAGGAACCAACTGTAGTAATACTCAAGTATCTTATTTCTTAATTATGACGTCATATCGAAAGTAAGAAGTGTTAGTAGGTGACTGAACCAGCTTCTTTATAGACTGACACATTCATAAACTATCTGTATACAAATCAACTAAACCTGAGCCCCAATTTGTTTAAATTTTGTTGTTTTGTCTATTTTTTTTTCTATGAAGCTAACGTATTAAATACATTTGGCTTAAATATTTGATTAGGTTAATTGTTATCAATCAATTACTGAATTTCTCTACAACTAATTCAGTAATCTGATAATTGTGAACTAGAAAAATACAATCCCAAACATGCCGTTTGTGAAAACAACAAGAGAAGAAACTAAGCCAAAACTGTGGAAGAACTAATACCTTTTGAATTAAAGGTGTAATACTGTCTTTGTCTTTAAATATGTTCTATCCAAAACTCCTCAACTTGCATTTGTGAGCGTTCAATGTTTTTTTTGCCATTTCAAATGCGAAATAAATGTTATTGTTTCAGTTGAAAGACAGGTCTATGGTAGTATGTTCATTCACAAGGGTATAAAGTTTTAATTTAATTGATTAATCTAAAAATAATTATTCAGTTAATCTATTTTATTTATTTATAAATCGAATCTATTGATAGCTGCAGTGTTAAAGCACATAACTGAAATAATAAAATCTGCCTTTATGTTGTTTTTTTCCCCTCATAATGAGAGAATATAATTAACAGAATTTAAAATAATAATAATAAAAAAAAATCATTACATAAATAGTTAAATTCTTTGTCACATGTTTAATGCTTCATAACTTAAAACAGCCCCAGTTTAAAAAGAAAACCGTATCTTATAGTAAAACAAATATGAATCTCTCTGTTTTCGGCTTGATTTTTGCTGCTAACTTTTTGTTTAAAGGAACAGTTTGAGTCTTTAAACATGTAGATCTTGGGAAGCTATTAAATCATTTAAAACGTCAGATGGAAAACTCACCGGTCCAAACTTGGCATCTTCAGCTTCGTAGATGTAGTGATCCAGAGCAACGAAGTAGAATCCAGACTCCACCTGATCGCAGCGGCGACCAAACATGTGATCTCTGCAGACACACTGGCCGCTCACCTGATCACACCTGCAGACAGGAAGTCAAACACTGCTGTTTCCTGTCCAGATACACACTGATTCCCATAAGATTGGCTCAGGAAACAAATTTCTTTCAGCAATTTTATCTCAATCTTTTTAATTCTTCTAATCTCATTGTTTTAACTTCTGTAATATGCTTTGAAACAGACATTTGGTTTTTGATCACAGGACTTCAGGCACATATTTAGAGAGCCTAGCTTAGTTTTTTGATACATTTATAGATTTATATATTTTTATGGATTAAAGAAGCCCCACCAAAGGACGCCCCGATCTTGTAATTTTATTTCAAATACTTTTAAAATGCCTTTCCTGTTAGAACATATATTACATAATTCCTATTTAAAATAGCTTAACTTAACACAAAGAAGCATATCAGCTCAGGTTATGGGTGTATTTTCCACTTTTTAAATTCCTGACAATTAGTTCTGTGCTTCAGTTAACAGTACATTTTGCAGAGTTAAAGTAACACTTTAAGAGTTAAATTTAACACCAGTCTGAGTGCATTTGGTCCCACTCTGACTTGGTGTAAAATTAACTTTCTACAGAGTGTATGTCTTACTGCAGTTGTTGCTGTAATAACTCTAAAAGAGTCAATGAAAGTAAGCGGCATGAGATCCAAAGAGCCTGTTCACTACTTTCTTTAGAACTTCATCAAGATTTCTGCACCAGCTTAAGAATAAGGGAGTCTGTAACTTTCAGCCTTTTCACTTACTATATTGGAAGTAATCTCCAAGTGAACGACATAAAAAATAACGACAAACATACCAAAGTCTAACCTTCTAAGATGTTTGATCTCAACCTAGACAATACCATCTAAAGTAGGTCTCCAGGCACTTAAAATGTATTCAATCATCATTAGAAACCTAATCAGAAGACCTGTTTGAGATAAAGCAAATAAACCATGTTGAAAAAAGGACCAAAGAACCAGGTGGGAAGCAAGGAGGTGGAAGTGTCATGGTTTTGGGTTCCTTTACTGTAGCAGGACATGGTCAATGAACCAGATTGGACTGTAAAGAACTGTCCACTCAGAGCAGATAGAACTATATCCTTATATAAGATGGCTCATAATCACATTCCTCTTTTCTGAGTTCAATGAATTTCATTTTCATTGTTCCTTGTCCCCTCCATGACATTTACAAAAAAGTCCTAGATGTGAGCTAAAACTCTACCTCAGTTATGTCACTGTCAGGTTATTTTTAGGCGTAGTGTCTCTGCTGTTGATTTGTAGCTTTAAAAGTACAAGGAGCCACAGTTTTCAGTTGAAGGAGAGTTGAAATGGGTGCAGAGCTCACCGGTTGTGGACGGCTCCTCCCAGATCACAGTCACACGGCCTGCAGCCGTCCCTGTCGTTACTGAGGCCCCAGTGTTCATCCTATAACAAAACATTGAGGTTTGAGACAAGTCATCCTGAGGACATCCCAGTCTGTAAAAACCTGATGTCCAGCTGTGCCAGGAAGTCATTCAGTTCCCCTTTTCATCTCCAGACAATACTCCTACAGTTATACAGCCTCAAGTCTTCACTCTCTTACTGAAACTCCCACATCTTACTTTAGAATAGGTCCTTCAGAGGTTACTTTCTCCTGATCTGTCTGCTTTGTGGAGTGTCACCAAACTGGTCGAGAGAACGCAGAGTAATCAGAGTATTTTCCTCACCACACACTGGTCGCAGTCTCGTCCTGTCACCAGACGCTTACAGAAACAGATTCCTGTTTCGCTGTCGCAGGGGTTTCCTCCAGGAGCGGTTCCCAGGGAGCTGCAGGTACAGGCTGCAAGCACCACAGCACCACACATTAACAACAGCCAGTTCATGTCATTGAAACCCCTTTGAAAAAAGGTTCTTAATTTAAATATCACTCTCCGGATTAAATAAAGATTAAATATAAATCAATAAGCCTCTGGTTGGTCCTAATTAGACTGGAGACGGGCAGCAAAGATCTAAGAAAGCAGGTAGTAAAACAAATAAAACAGCTAGAGCACAAACTTACATTGATGATACCTCACTTAGCAGTTTAAAAGTCAAAAAAATGGGTTTTTAACTCAAGCTCTAAGCACTTTTAAAGTCTTCTGGGAGTTTGTTCCAGAGAAGTGGACAATATGAACTAAATGCTAAAGTGAACTTTGAGGAATCATGAAGATAGCCATCAGATAAACCTTCTAAAGCTGTCCTGGGACCTTCTGGGAACTTTCATAAACCAGGCTGCCAAACCTGGATCTAATGAACTTTAACTGCCTATTAGAGATAATTTCCTGTTGTTGTGGTTACTAATGAAATTAATACCAACCAGTTTTTTTTAGTTTTTTTTTTTTTTTTATCAGTCATCAGAACTCATGATAACATCTGTGTTTCATTAGTGCATCACTGAGAGATTATCAATGAACTGGTTTTTCCAGCAGAGTTATTGTTAAAGGACGTCCCCGGTAACTTTTCAGAGCTAAAAGTTTCTGTGTTTAAGTTGTCATTGTGAGGAGCCGTTCCAACCTTTGCAGCCTTCAGGTTCGTTGCTGAGCCCGTAATGTGCCGGTTTGCAGCGCTCGCAGCGTTCTCCCTCCACGTTGATTTTACAGCGGCACTGACCAGCGATCAGACCGGCCTGTATATCCGTCATCCTGTCGCATATTCCTCCGTAAAGGGAACCCACCGGGTCACAGTTACATGCTGTAGACACAAACATAACACTAAACCTGTGTAGTATGTTCAAACACAGACAGCATTAGAAGCCCAGATAGATCACTTTGAGATCTGAGCTCCAGTTCAATAGACGGAAGAAGAAACTGCATGAAACTGTTCGTCATACCTGCCTCCAACAGACTACCCACACTACTCTGCTGTGATCGTCAAAGTCTCTTTCAGGGGCAGACATGGATGATTAAATGTGGAGCTCTAGTATGTTTGCATAAAGATGAGTAGATGGTCTGTGAGGCAGGTCTGAGCTTGGATGAAGCCACATCAAAGACCTTGGACATAAAAAAGATTCCCCCATGTTTGGTCTCATATTCAGCCTTTAATCTTCCTTCAAGAAAATGCCTGAGCGACTGAAATCTGATCAGGACACCAGACTTTGGCAGAGGATAACCTGGGAACATTTTGCTTCCTCAAAGCAGAGAAACTGCAGACCAAGCTGATGTTTGAACAGATCTCAGTGGTTCTTTCTGGGATCAGAACTCTGTACAGGAAACACCTTAACTCTGTTGTCAATCCAGAGTTCCATGCTTCTGCTTTAATATAACACAGGTAAACTCACGCTGGCAGATGTTGGGGTCTCTGAGATCCTTCTCTGGGTGTTGGAAATAAAACGGTTTGCACTGCTCGCAGTTGTTTCCGGTCGTGTTGTGCTGACAGTCGTCACAAACTCCTCCGCTGATGTTCCCAGAGGCCAAGAACACGGCCATGTCGAAGTGACACAAGTCCGAATGCTGGTTGCATTTACACTCTGAAGAGAACAGCAGAACATTGGAGAAGATTTATCTCAAGCCTGATAATCAACCTCTCTGCTGCAGATGCTTTAGGTTATCAATTATTATGATTTTTTTTCAACCGTGACCCATCAGAACCTCAGAAAATATAAAGTTATGGATCAATGTAAACCGGCGGTGAAAGATCAGAGACACCATTTTGGACCACTATAGATCTGTACTGAAATCGAATGACTAATTCATAGCTATGTAGGCTATATGCTTTAAGCTGCTTCCGTTTATACATAAGTGGACTAATTTGAACTGGTTTAGACCTATATTAGACAGCCTTGACCAATATGACCAATGTGGACCAGTACAGACCCATGTAAAGAATTCTAGGTCCATGTGAACGATGCTTGTACTGCGCCACAAAACCTGTAACAGTTGTTCTGGATCCACTTATGCATAGCTGACCATTATAAACCAGGATTGGACTATGTGGACAGTTCTGGACTGGTCTACCCTCATTTGGTGCATCCTGAACCGGCTTTAAAATCACCAGTGCCTTTTGGGACCACCTTGGAGACCCAAGGACTTACTCTTGCAGGCGTTTGTGTTGCGTCCCTCTGCTGGTCTCCAGGGAAGGTCATGGTAGAAGTCCTCGCACTGTTCACAGTTCAGTCCTTTAGTGTTGTGGTTACACATGCAGTGACCATGAACCTAAACGATTTACAGATAATTGATCAATAATTACCAAATATCCATACAAATCTACTGGTCCATTTGAATTTAAACTCACTGTTAATTGATTTACACATGCAGGATAAAAGTAAAGAGGAATATTGGTGGAAAACTAAAAAAAAAAAAAGCAAAAAACCACCAAAGAACTCAATGAGAATAATATATTTAGTAGTCCTATGTAAATATTTAACTTTTAGCAGGGCCAGACTATTCTGTTTTATCTTGCAGAACTTTAATTAGCAGAACTGTGATGTGCCAACATCTTCTCTGGGGAGGTAAAATTACATCAGACTAGCCCAACAGCATCATTCTTTAGGACTCACCATGCCTTCAATCGCTTGGCCTGTTCCCTCCACAGGGGCGCATTCAGAGGCATGTCCATAACAGAAACAGTTTCCTCTCACCACCATGTCATAGATGGCATAGTAATACTTTTCTTTGATCTCCATTCTGGAGTCCAGCAGGTTGTCTCCGAGGGTGTGCAGTTTGGTAAACTTCACCCGTAAGTTGGTGATCTTCAATAAGTCTAAACAAAGAAATTTAATTATTGATCAATAACCCTCAGAGTCCAGCGAAATAACTTTATTCAGTGAGACGCACTCTGGATTCGTGGACTGTATGGGTCTTCAATCCGAAATGCTGGATCCAGGACTCGGTAAATCACCTGAAAGAGGAAATATTTCAAAGAAACAACCATCAAGCCAGCGCAAAAAGGTCTCAATGATGGATTATATAATGATTTCACTGTGAAAACACCAGGGTGTCCCTGCAGTTGCCTCTAAATGCTTTCAAAAAACGATGGTACCTCGCCCTCAGTGGATGGCTCAATATCCGAGTACCGAGAGTCACAGATGACATCATCAACCTTCTGCATTGGACCCTGGGAAACAGACGGAAAAGACGTCTCGCAGTCATAGGCAAAGTAACGGTAAACCTGCCAGGTTATCCCAAAGTCCGCTGATCGTTCGATGACCATGGCAGCCGGTCGAAATGTCTGATGAATGAGAACAGATGGAGATGAAGTTCGAAAGCTCATCTTACAACTGTTAGGAAACCACTGCTGTGTGAAGAGCTTACCCTGAAGGTCATAATGAGATGAGTGAAGTGAAACTCTGCTTCAAGATTCAGCTGGATGGTGACATTCTCCAGACCTGAAAAAAAAAAAGTTTGTCTAAAATCTGTGCACCTCAAACATTAGGCAGTCATCAATAACCCCAACATGGTCGCTGACAGACACTTCAGTTTTTAACCAAACTGTATGTTTCTGACTCCCCTTTTGGGAATCTAAGCTTTTAGTTTTCAGTTATTAGTTATTCTGTTTTGTTGATCTCTGGTTTACTTTCCATTATATTCAAGCAATCTTTAGTTACTCTCTGTTGCCCCCTTGGGCTTGTTTCGTTTCCCCATGGCTTCCTTCCAGTTAGTTCCACTCACACCTGCTCCTTATTCAGCTCATTAGTCCATCTTTTGTTCTGTTCCCCTTATATACTCCACCTCTGCAGTCACTCAGTGCTGGTTCCTTGTTGCTGATTTGTTGTTCCGTCGTCTCTGGCTTCCCACCTGAGTTTCCCTTGATGCTTTCTGGGTTTTTTTTATTCTTAGTATTTTGGATTTTTGGTTGTCTGCCTCTGTTTTTTCATCAAATCTATAAGATTTACCTCTGCCTCCTGCTCTCTGCTTTGGGTCCTCAACCAACCTTCATACATCTTGTGACCGAAGCCTCCTTCCTCAGGTTTAAATGTGGCTTTTCCTTTTATAACACTGATTCAGGCAGAAGCAGCCTTAACTCCTGAGCATCATCCTCAACCCAACAGTCCACCAACAACTCCATCCATCCAAGCCCTGAGAGTGCGGTATAACCTCTGTAGCCACATGGTGATACTTTTAAAATCCTTAAGCACTTCGTGAGAGAAATCTCTTGATGCTTAACCTCCCACTATATTAAGCCAGCAGTTGGGGGTATGAGGTAGATCAGGGACAAAGGGCTTTGGGTGCGCATGGGTAGCTGATGAAAATGAGTTTAGACAGATATGAAGCAGAAACATTACATGCAGCTTCAAAGGTCAGAGACACACATTTTAAAATTATTATAGAATTCATAAGGAAGCCAGTTGAGTTCTTAAAGAATAGGAAATTATAGACATTGTGGACTAGATTCTGAAAATGATGACGGCTTCAGAGTTCTGGACCAACTGAAGTTTAAACAGGGATTTGAAATAAAAATTGAAAAAAGCGGGAAATTTCGACATTGTGAAGTTACCAAGGAGTGAATATGTTAGCTTGATGCAATGCATGTTAGCGATGGGCAGAGTTGATTTGCCACACTAAGCTAGGTGGCAGTAAGGAGACAGATAAAATCTTTTGAGCCATCTAAGAAAAAGTACGGTCTAATATGACACAAAGGCTTTTACTGTTACTGCGTTACTGAAATGCAACCAACTTTGTTAACTTCGTAAACTTCCATTTTCTTCAGGTGAACCAACATCTAAGGATAGAGCTGGGTGTCATCTGCCTATCAGTAAATATTTATGTTGAATCTACAATGACGGAAGATGTTAACAAGAAAAATGCGATGCATGTTGAACAAGATAGGACTGTGGACAATCTTGAGGCCTTTTAGGGTCTGCTAATGAAGGTATTTTAAAGATTTTGATCCAAATACGTAATATAGGCATGAAGATTTAAATTAGTTGAGAAGAGGTGACTGTTCAGCTTTATCCTATGTTAGATGGTGTCAAAGACTTAGTGAAGTCGATGGCAATCAGAATGGTCTATAATCCAGATCCAGCTGTCATAGGATGGTTTTTGGAGATCTTAAGAACGGGTGTTTCCATACGATGATGGGGAAAAAGAACATGCTAAAATTTTCCATTAGATTAAGAAAACCGCTAGGCATCCAGTCATGGTGAGTTAGACCAGACCTTTTTCTTAAAAGTCGCGGGTTCCCCAGTTCAAACCCCACAACCTGCCACCCTGGGTCCCGAGCAGGACCATGAGCCTAAAATTGGATCCTGGTTCCTCTAAACGGCCCACTGCTCACAAAGAGCTTGGTTAAATGCAGAGGTCAAATTTAACTGTAATTTACGTTTGCAGTGGCCAATAAAATTACATTATTTTATAAATGGCAGCAAAACTATTTATGAACCTGGTTTAAAAGTGATGGCCAAGAACTATGGGGAGATTAATTAGTGGGTCGTTTTCTTATCAGTCCATAGAGAAAGCATCTTTCAGACCTTATCATTGCCAACAGCTAAGCAAGTGACTATAGCTTCAATCATTAAATTCAGAAATAAAATTAAAAAAAATCATATTACTTTAAGCTAAAAGATTTATTTTCAGGAATTATTAATTCAATTAATGGATTGATAAAATCCCTAAACATATTAAAAAATGAAACAAAAAAGAGATTCCTTTGCAGTTCTCTTTAACTGTGGCAGATATAACAGGTAAAGTTTCATTTGTAAAGTACTGTATCAACACTGAGCAGCTGCAGAAACATGCCTTGACCTCCAACTGAAACCTGGCTGGGATCAAACACCAGCGGAGGCTTTTTGGGTGGCTGAGTTTAATGGCTGAACAAACATCACCGAATCATTACCGTTCTCAGACTGCCACCAGGTCTTCAGCCTGTTGGGACCAAATGTGGTGACAACGTTTTCAATGCGGTGGCTGTTGTTGTGGTTGGCCAGCTCATCATCGTACGGTGCTGCAGAATCACACACAAAGCACTTCTTCTCCTCCTGGTTAAAAAAACAGAGGGGGAGGGCAACAAGAGGGAGTTAAATTCCTCAGATTCCTCTCTGTTGGTGGTCAGTGGAGATAAACTCGACAAGCAAAGACCTCTAAGAACAAATAAACCTGAAAGCAACACTTTCAAGCTAGGGGGTTGCTACACAGGAAAGTGCTTCACACTATTTCGTCGAAATAGGACTAAATAAGTAAGAGTTTAATCAAAAACATCACTACCATCCTTTCTCATGGATAGCAGTCAAATAAGAGCATCAGACACAACGTAGGAGTAAATCCCTTGTTATAAAACAATAAATTAAACTTTGAAAAATCCATAGAAAAAAATTTTGGGAGTAACTTTTGTTCTTTTCGCTTTATATATAATTTTGTTTTTCAAACTGTATTTAAATTTTTTATAAACATTTTATATTTTCAAATTTCTGTTTTTGGGGTTGAATTTTACAAATTGCATTATTTTTAATTCCATTTTACAGATCGCATTCCCTTTGTTTCTGAGGGTTGGCTTCCTTCTGGAGTGGAGAGCAGAGACGCATCTCTATTGGTCAACATTAAAAAATGCAATTTGCAAAACTTAATTTGAAGACCAGACATTAAAATGATAAAAATAAAAATTTTTTAAATACATAAAAAAAAAAAAACTTTCTTGAAAGAAAATTTGAAAAACGTAACATTTGAAAATTTGAACTCCGTAAAAAAAAAGAAAAAAAAAATATATCTGGTTGAATTGTCTCTGTAAACTGCCTTGAAATGAAATGTTGTGAATTGGCGCTACATAAATAAAGTGATTTGAATTGAAAGCAGTTTTATACATTTTGTTTTTCAGTTCACAAAATGTGTTTTTTTTTTTTTTCATTTACAAAACTTGTTCTTTTTTTTCCCTCAACAATAATGGAACTACATTCACTCCATAAAACTGTGCCTGCCTCCTGAACCACATCTGCTAGTTATATTTTCTCTCCTCTGAACTGTGACACCATCTCCGATTTTGAAACTCAACTCTAACACGTCGGGTTCAAACAGTTTATGCAATCCGATCTTAACAGAACGAAAAGGTTACAATCAAAACTTTGTTCTGATAAATAAAAAAAAAAACCCAGAGTGCTTTGGTTTTTAACATCAGATTAGATGGAGGGTGTTGGATCTTTTAGCTGTTCTGTTTGTTGAAACATCTGGATAAACATCTGTCAGCAGCCAGACTCTGCGTCTCCTTATAGGGAGATCATTTTACACAGGAAACAGCACAGACTGTAACACAGACATACAGAGTTAAAGCAAACACACAGAGCGTGCATCACTGGGAAGGCCGGGAAGTCTGTAGGAGGTCAGAGACGAATCTCTGTTTCCTCAAAGATTTAAACCGGCTGATGAGGAAGGTTCTAGAGACTGCAAAGATCTGTTGTAAAGAAGCTCACTCATCTATCCATTCATTGGGTTTTAAACTCGCTGAAAGAGCATTGGCCTGGAGCCTTGATTTAAGTGCAGCAGTCGACTATCTGTATTGAACATTTTTTACCTCTACTTTTCTTTCCAGGTCAGCAGACCGTCCTTTCAACCACCTGGTTTATATTTGCTATTTCTGTCCTCACAAACGGCGTGGGACACAAGCTTGCACTGTTTTAGGGGACATGTCCTGTCCATTTATCATGTGGTGCACATCCCCTCATTCATAGCAGGCCGAGCACCAGAGGGGAGGCTTAGCAAGCCAAACTCCAAAGCATTCTTTATTTTTTTTTTCAACCATCAGATGCATTGTTTACCATTGACTCAGTGGGAAAATTGTTAAAAAAAATATATTTGATATTATTTAAAAAGTGGAGTTTTAATAAAATGCACCTCCTAAGTTCAATCTTCTTCTCTTATCTGCTGTTGGAAACGGGCAGATTTGATCTGATTAAGAGTCTGAAATATTCAGTGAGGCACAAAGCTGAGTCCTTGAATGGTTCAAGAATGCTGCTCCAATCTGTTCTATCAGCCAGGCAGGTAATTTTATCGATTTCTTGTTACATTGGCTAATTCCTCCCAAACAACCAACGCATACGGAACAGAGAAAGATCAGAAAAGAACAGAAAAATTATTTTAGAATAATAATGCGGTGCTGCATGTTAACTAAGAGCTTTACCAGAAAGCCAGATCTGACTGTTTGCAATGGGTATAAAATGGGAAAATCTGTGTTTCTGAACCGATTAGGAAATATGAGCGAAAAGATGTGAGGGAGAGAACTTCAGCATCCTCTAGATAAGATTTTTGAGTGAAATAAATTTCAATGGAAAAAACATAGAAAAAAAAGTAAAAGCACTGGCTTCTACAGTGCTGACAAGTAAAATAAGACTAATCTTTTATTTGTATACAAAAACAATTACCCATTCAAAATGATATAATTCATAACCAGCAACAGTTGTACGCAGCCCCAGGGCAGCTGTGGCTACAATGTAGCTTGCCACCATCAGTGTGTGAGTGTGAGTGGCAGAATGTAGTGTAAAGCGCTTTGGTCAAATCTTCTCACTTGAAAAGCGCTATATAAGGACAAGCCATTTACCATTAACTGAGGAAAACCTGCTTCCCACCAGGTTATCTCTAAGAAGAATGTTGCTACGGTAACAGAAACATAGGTTGATTAAACTCTCTTTGTGAAACAGAAAACACTGTTTTCCTGATGTCAGGTTTAGAAAACTTAGTGTTCAGTAAACCTGCTTTGTGAAATGGTCCTCTGGAGCCTAGACTGTAGACCCAGAACCAAACATGGAAAAGCGGCATTTAGTTCCTATGCTCTACTTACCCAGAACAAACTTCCAGAAATGCTAAAAGCCTGAGTTCTCTTAAGTCGAAGTCAATAAACGCATTTCTCCAGAGCTGCATTTGACTGTGGAAGTTACACTGTTAACTGAAGTTTTACTAGTTTAAGTTTGTGGTCCAGCTGTTTTATTTGCTTTTTTTACCTGCTTTTACCATGTTTTTTTTTTTTTTTTTTTTATCTTTAACATGTGATATCATGGGAAGATAGGCGCTGTTATCAGGCAGTGACTGGATCATCTGACAGTCAGACACTGAAGGCTCATGAGAAAGAAAAATAATTCTTGATGAGGCTGGTTGACCAGATATTCATCTCGTGTGACGGTACATCAGGGTAACAGTCTGCATTGAACTCATCAACCTCGAAGACATTAATCTGCAGAGCAGAGCTGCTTTATAATGTTTGCAAGTCTTTTACCTGCAAGTGGCTGACAATGCAGAACGGTTCTGGACGCTTCAGACCACAGGTAGAGGTGGACGACAGCTGGTGAGCTCGGCCAATAAGAAGATCCCCGGTTGCTGGGTAACAGCTTCCTTCAGTGCACATGTCGCTAAGCTCCGGAAGGCTGACGTCAACCGGCGACCCAACCAGCGAGTCTCCCCTGTCCTGAGCGCAGGTGATCACCTGCATGGCTGAAAGCAGAGCGAAAATTCAACCAGGATTACATAGAGATCTGCGCCTCATAGCAGCTTTACTAAGGAAGATATTGAGTAGATAGTGCACAATACAGTTTAAAATAACGAATAGCCACTTGAAAACTAAACTACGGTAAGATCAGACACACCTGGGCGTTAGACTGCATCAAAAATATATTTTCTAACCAGAAAGATCTAGGCTCAGATTAATTATTTTTTGCCATAAAACTGACATCAACTTAGACTTTTTTGTGTTCAGAACAATATAAAGATCAGCTCTCTTCAGTTTTCTCCTTCTTCAGGGTAATATTGAGTCAGATTTATTCAGTCCTTCACAATGGCGTAGCCAGAACATTTTAATAAGGGTGGCCAGGCAATAACCAATGCACACTGAGGGGTGGCCGAAAGTACAGAGGCACCAGAACCTCAGGGTCAATCTACACTGTTTCAACAGGAAAATTAAGGAGCAAAATTCCATATTTTCTAAATAAAGACAAACTATATTTTCCCACAGCCTTTCCTAACAAATAGAAGAATATATTCAAACATCCGTGCTTTCTAGATAAAAGGTATAGTGGATAGAATTCTTTCAGGGTTGAGTTTTGGGCAAACATCTCTTCCTTTGTCATTACTTACCTACTTTTATCAGTAATCATTCTACATAAAATTGATATTTAAAGATACTAATATCTACATAAATTGATTATTTAATAAGTTTTTATCAAAATAGTTATTTCACTGAAGACTCCTAGATGAATTTTCTCTTTACCTCATAAAACACAAAATCTATCTTTGCTTGAATTCTGTATTTATCATCTTTAATGTTAGTATATTGACGTGCATAATTAACCACAGTGTTTTTGTTGTCAAGTAATTGTTAATATATATAAAATTAAAATCTTTTGAATATTCTACTTGAGAGTATTACTGTTGCCACCATCTGTATAAAGCTGCGTTCACACCAAACGCCACAGGAGCAGCGAGTTTACATGCAAAGTCAATGGTTGACGCGCGTCAAGGCGCAGCAAAATGTCCCGCAGAGCAGCTGAAGCAGTGCGTTGGGAGCATTTAAGCATCTGACGCAAACGCGCTGCTGCTTGAGATGGAAAAATTTTACTTTTGCTGCTGGACGCTCCGCATCAACCAATCAGAGAAACTGACCTGGGAGCTGGCAGTGAGACAGACACATCACTGATGATACAGATCACTATGATCACTCCTCTGAAACAGTTGAAACGTCTAAATTAACTTAAAATACTAAAACCTGCTGGAAAAACATGTTCCTTTTTATTATCCTGATGCCTGCAGCTTGGATTACGTAGATGAAAACCACCTTCCAGCCGCTGCGGAGAACCGCGAGGAGGCAACCGGGCCATAGGCTGCTGTTGAAGGGGATTCCTACTGACAGCGCATCACTGATATGTGGGGGTCTGAGCGGCTCAGACAGAAATAATATTTGAAGGCAGGATGGTAATCTGGATTAACTGACTGCATAGATCAAGTTTTCAGGTGGATTCTCTCACTTAAAAACATATTAAAACTACTTTATTCCCACTGATCACAGCAAATATAGCTGCAAGGCAAAGAAAGGATAAAGTAGCTCAGCCCAACGCGCATCAGATCCACTTTTTGACCACGCAGCCAGAGCAGCAAAGCTGCTTCAGCCGCGCGTCAAAACTAAACTGGTACAAGCATCAAAAATGAAGCAGCAGATGCGTTTTTGCTGCTCCTGCTGCGTTCGGTGTGAATGCAGCTTTAGAGGGAAATAAATGGTAGGGCGGTTAATGATTGGCTAAGGTTGGCCATGGCCACCCCTGGCCCCCCATCTAGCTCAGCCCCTGGTCTTTCTGACTTTTCATCAGATTTGCTCAAATGTTTTATTTATGTAGGCTGTTTGTTTGTTTGGTTTGTGTTCGGATTGTTTTTTTTTCCTGCAGTAAACTGATCTCAGGTCAGATTTTTGTTCAGTTTTTAGACAAACAGATTTACCTACTGATTACATTTTCAGAAATCAATGGACTGAATAAACGAACTGATCTTAAATCTGCAGACAGATGGGAGAGTTTCTGGATGTTTAAACTGCTCTCATTTAGTAAACTTTCATTTAGAAATTAAAGTTTCTCTGGATAAAAACACCTCTCTCAGGGTTGACTTGGTTTCGTTTCCAGAAAACTTTTTCCACTAAATTCTCAGTAAAACTAAAGCTGCTCATGTTAAAGAACAGATTTACTCACCGAGCAGCACCGATAGCTGCAGCTGCAACATGTTCCTCAGCCTCCGATGTCACCTACAGGAACCAGAGCGGGACCCTCTGAGTACTGAGTGGGCTCAGAGCCCCGCCTCTTTCACCCACCCAGCGGCCCCCACTTCCGGACCGTTACAAAAAGCTTTAACTGCGTTTAGAGCTGGACCATAACTAGTACTCCACTTTAAAGGTAGAAAATGAGGCAGAAAACATCCTGTTTGTATTTTAAATTAATAAAAAACCGCAACTGATCTGAAATCAGAGGATAATTTTAGTCCATTAATGTAAGTTTCATTCAAAAACACCAGAAAGTTCACAGAACGACAAGAAAAAAGTTTAAAATAGGAATCTCCAATCCATTTTAACTATTTTTACGTTTTTTTTTTGTATTTAATTTCATTCTACAAAAGGTTTATACTCTCAACCCCCCTTAATCCTGAAGGACTCTGAAGACAAAGACATTCCTGAGTCCCTGGCCCTCCCCCCTCAGGATGCTCACCTGCAACAACCAGGGGCGGAGCTAGATGGGGCGCCAGAGGTGGCCATGGCCACCCTTAGCCAATCATTGCCCACCCCTACAATTTTCTTCCCTGTAATACAGATGGTGGTAACAGTAATACGCACTAGTGGAATATTCCAAACATTTTATTTTTTTTTTGTGGTTAATTATACACATCAATAGACTAACATCAAAGATGAGAAGTGCAGAATTCATGCTCTTTTCAGAGCTAGATTTTTTTTAATATGGGGTAAAGAGACAAATATGTGGCTCTGCAAGTCATGTAGGAGTCTTCAGTGAAATCAAAGATAAAAATTTAAATAAATCAGTTTAAATAATCAATTTATGTAGATATTAGTGTAAATATCAATTTTTTTGCAGAATTTTTATTGATACAAGTACAATGATGGTTGATTTACGCCCCAGAACTCAAAACTTAGTTTTATCCACTATAACTTTTATCTATAATTTATGGATGTTTAAATATATGTGTCTATTTGTTAGCAAAGGCTGTAGGAAAGAATAGTTAGTCTTTATTTAGAAAATATGGATGTTTTGCTCGTTCATTTTCCTGTTGGAACAGGCTAGATTGACCATGAGGTTCTGGTGCCTATCCGCTTTTGGCCACCCCTCAGTGTATATTGGTTATTGCCTGACCACCCTTACAAAAAATTTCTGGCTACGCCTCTGGCAACAACAAAGTAGGCATGTATGAGAATGTGTTTGTGGAGGGGTTATATTCATTTATTAAAGTACTACTTTGAAATTATTGCTTATATTCCCCATGCAGTAAATCTACTATTTTAGTTCAGCCTTTGACCAGGGGCGGAGCTAGATGGGGGGCCAGGGGTGGCCATGGCCACCCCTACCATTTTTTCCCTCTAATACAGACGGTGGCAGCAGTAATACTCTCAAGTAGGATATTTTAACTTATTTAACATTTTAATTTTCCATATATAAACAATTACCTGTCAACAAAAACACTGCGGTTAATTATGCACATCAATATACTAACATTAAAGATGATAATAACACAATTCATGCTCTTTTCAGAACTAGATTTTGTCTTATATTGGGTAAAGAGAAAATTATGTCTCTGTGAGTCATCTAAGGGATCTTCAGTGAAATCAGAGATAAATAACTACTTTAATAACAAGTAATGCATTTAATGTGGATATTAGAACATGTAAATATAAGTTTTATAAAGATTGATTATTAATAAAAGTAAGTAAGTAATGACAATGAATAAGATGTTCGCCCCAGAACTTAAAACTGAAAAATTTTGTCCACTATGCCTTTAATTTAGACAGCATAGATGTTTAAATATATGAGTGTATTTGTTAACAAAGGCTGCAGGAAAGTATAGCTTGTCTTTATTTAGAAAATATTGATGTTGTCCGTGTTCCTGTTGGAACAGTTTAGATTCCCTTTTGGCCACCCCTCAATGTTCATTGGTTATTGACTGCCCCCCCCTATTAGGATTTTCTGGCTACGCCTCTGCTGATCATGGTTCTGTTCTGCTGTTTTAGACCCAGCTGTAGATGCTGAAATGAATGGAGGTTCATGTAGAGCCCTAATCTGATTAATAATTGAAATTCTTTTGTAATTGTAAGTGTGTGATACCTCTGCAGGCTGACACATGTTGAGCCTTTATCCATAAAGCACTGCACTCACACTAAGCCCAGAGATGTTCAGCTCCCCCATGTCCCCCTTAAAGGTATTTACTGTAAAGTTCTTGTTGTTTGATAAACAAAACAGTATGCGTAAGAAAAACAATAATTCTGTTAAATGTTTTTAAGGAATCATTTATGCATCTTTGTATCTTTGTTGTGTTTCCTTCCCTAACCAGTTCAGTTGACATAATGAAATGATTTCTCTCCATATTCCATTCTAAGGGAAACATATTCCAGGAAATTAAAACTTCTTTTCTTTTTATATGCTTTTTTATAAACTCTTTTTATATTATCTGTTGCATTTTTATCTTTAATGGCAATTTACATTTTCTACTCTATATACTACTGGAACCAGAATTTCCCCTGAAGGGGTAATCCAAAGGGATAAACAAAGTTGAGTCTTAATCCAAATCTAATCTGTGGTTCTGTTTGGAATGTAAAGTCTCTTTCAGTTCCCCAGTCCGATGCTCACCTAATTTAAGCTCAAACTGTGGTCCCAAGCTCTCTGGAACCCTCAAACATGTGGCCCCGGGTTATTCCTAATTACAAATGTCTGATCCTCAGAGTTGCCAGGGATAACTGTAAAAAGAGTTTGAAATAATTTACTTTTATCTATCAGAGTGAAGCCCCTACAAGAGAACAGGTGCCAATAACAGTACCCCCTGGTGGAAAAACCCAGAATCATCCCATATAAATCACAATTTATCTGAACGCTGACATTCTGACATAAAGGGTTTCATCCATGCAGGAAATACGCTATCTGAGGCAGATTTAAATACCTTTATCACATTTTAGAGTTACTTTCATGCCCCAAGGCTATTATCTTGATTTAACACTAGATCCTTAAGAATGACGCAATAGTAGGAAAGAGGAAAGACTGTAACAAAATAAAACAGCTTTGACTGTGACATGATTTCCCCAAAGCTGTTTTCCATTTTCTATACTGGCAGGCAGCAATCATTTTTTTGTTGTTGATTAGACCAGAGTTTTATTGAGACTCTTATGACAAAGTAATAAGGTTGTCACTTTTTACTTCGAAAATTTGCTCCTTAAATCCAATAAAATTCAAAGAACATTGATCCCAAAATGACAATTTCTTTTTTAAGACCAGGAGAAAGACCAGAGACTTTCTCCGACAGGGTTCAATGATGTCCAAATTTTTTGAGCTATATACTCTTCCCTAGGTGTCAATTATCTTGAAAATCTCTTTACTCAGTTCTTCTCAGTTCTTTCCATGCATTTTCAGAGTCCCATGAGTGGCTATTTAAGGTTCGAGAAGGCAGATATCTGAATGGCAAACAGACATTTTTTACTGTGTTTAATGGCATACCCTTAGTCATGACTTTGATTTGATGTTTACAAGTCAAAGCGAAAATAAGTTCTTTCTTGGCAATTAGGCCTATATACTCTTGATCTCAGTCTACTGTCTAAGTAAAATCTGTCTTAAAAGTACTTTCCACTGATTTATTACACTGTACACGTGAACATAATTGTTGGTCCCCCTACATTAGTAATAGAAGCTCCACAATTGTCACAGAAATAACTTGAACCTAACAAAAATATTATTAAATAATAATTGTATGAAAATGGACAAATGACAGTCAGACATTGCTTTTCAACCAGGCTTCATTAGAATAAAAATAATAAAACAATAAACTCATGAAACAGTCCTGGACAAAAATGATGTTCAATTTAATATTTTGTTAAAAACCCTCTGAGTCAATCAATGCATTTAAATGATTCCTGTAACTGTCAAACACAAACTCCTCCATCAAGATAAGGTGGCAGCCCAGGGAGGGGCATATGTGAACATAGAGATTATATACCTTGGTAAAAAGTTCAACCTAAGTCTCATCTGTCCATTGGGCATTCTTCCAGAAGTCTTGTGACTTGCCTACATGCAGTGTGGCAAATTCCAGTCTGGCTTTTTTTATGATTTGTTTTCAACAACGGCGTCCTCCTTGGTCATCTCTTATAAAGTCAACCTTAAGTCATACATGGAATGGATTGAATTGTTTGATCTAACACTGATGTTCTTCGAACTTGATGTTTAGCTAAATCTCTTAAGAAATATTTCTGGTCTCTTTTGTTTCGATTCTCATTACCTGTCTCTTTGATTCGTCATCAAGTTTCCTTCCGCCACCCCGTCCAAGGAGGTTGGCTACAATCCCATGGATCTTAAATAAATAAGCTGAAGCCCTATATATGGACACACTGACTAATTACTAGATTTTAGATACCTCTGATGCTAATTAGTAGACACACCTTTATTTAACATGTCCCTTTGGACACTTTTACTTTAGTCTTTTTGTGAAGGGTACATTCATTTTTGTCCAGTCCTGTTTCATTTGTATTTTTCTTAATAATCCTGCTGAAGCACGGTTGAAAAGCAAAGTCTGACTTTCATTTTAGAAGAATTTTTATTACTTTAGTCAGATTCAAGTTATTTCTGTGACAATTGTGGGTTTTTCTCTCATTAAATGAGATATACCAATATTTCTTTCAGGCAGAAAAGGGTAGACTTCATCCTTATAATTATACAAAATGTACGAAATGTAGGAAATGAACATAGATGTATAAAAGACAAGCTCCAGGAATATCGACCAGGAGGAAGTAACACTTAAAAAGATAAAATTTAAGGTGAAAAACCCAAAAAGTAAAAGTCTTTGATCCAGATAGGATTTTTTCTCCTAAAAGGGAATAAAACAGCATTGAATTCATGCAGCAAAAAAACTGAACTGTAGTAATAGATGTTATATGGAGTCACAACCTAATATTTCCTGTGTTGCAGCAGGCATCAAACTAAGCGTATCCCAAATGATCATGATTGAATTAGGATAGACGATGGTTTGAGACTTTCACCTTAATGGCTGCTCTGTCCTTTTTGTCATGATGCTTCATATTTAAAATGTTCAAGACTATAACCTCTTGATTTAATTTACTGTACAGGTTTATGAAATCATATCATTAAAAAAAGGACAAAAAACCAAAACATCCAATTTCTAGTTTTAAAGTGCCATTGTACAATGCTGTCAATTAAAAGAAAGCAACACAGATCTATAGTTCCTTTGTCTGTTTTGATAACATATTTTTGTTTCCTCATAACATCATTAGAACATGTATCTTTAAAGATGATATGCTTGATAGTTTTTAGGTTGGAGCATCTGAAAAAGGCAGATAAAATATTTAATCTCGGTGAGATTAATTTAGAAAGAGCTTACAAGTAATTTCTCATATTAGCATGTGATATTATCATTTAATATTATATTTTAAAACATCTAGTTTGTTTGTTTTTCTTTTATCCTGTTTTTTATTTCTTTTTAATTGTCCAGTAAGTTGCATTAAAAAATATAGTCCATTCCAATATAATTTATTCCTAATTTTTCTTTTAAAATTAAGTAACATGAAAAGACGAGTCTTCTAAATGAATCATTTTTATTCAGTTTTATAGTCTTTATGGGGCACAGCGGCTATATTCTATAGCCCGAGAGGCAATTTCCTTTTGTAGTGACTCCACCATCTTCAGCAGGTTGGACACCTCCTCTACTTTCTGATTCTTCCTTTGGAGAAGCTGCTGGATCTTCTGCTCCACATCTGCCAGAAACACATAAACAGGAAACATTAACAGTGATTAATCCAAAAGGATCACAGAAATCAATGTTCAAGCATTTAGAACCCACTGTGAAGACATTAGGGTCATGTGAACCAGCCTCCTTTTCATTAGTCCCCATTATTAAAATGCAGGAGCTGATATTAGCCACAGTAGTACGCCAAAACGGTTTAGCAGGAGGAACATTCTCAAGATGCTTTTTTTCTCCTTTTCTTAAACTACATAAACCGATAGGAATTTAGGGTCATACTATTTCTGCCAAGAATATAAACCTGCGTTGTTTAAACCATATTCTGGTCTCTTTGTCATGATCTGGCCTGTTTGCTCTCCCCTAATTAGTAATTCCTCTCACCTGCCCTCTTCATTCCCAGCCTCAATTATAATTTATTCCCCTCACCTGTTTCCTCTGGTTTATATTCAGTTCAGCCTGAGCATTCAGTGCCAGATCATTGCTTGTCTTTCTGTTCAGTTTTTATTTGGTTCATGTCCTGGATCCTAGCTGCCAGTGGAAAGAGGGTTTTAGTGTTTGTCTTGTCTCCTGATTGTCCACTGTTCCTTCCCCGCGGAGTCCTCTGGGTTTTTGGCTCGTTATGGGGGAAGGTTCAGTTTTTATCAAAGTAAGCCTGGCTCCAGGGAGGAGACCAGTTTAAAGTCTGCTTCAAGTTCCGGTTCTTACGTCCTGTCTCGGCTACCCTCTTCCACTGTGCCTGCCTGTCTGCACCTGATCCTGTCTGCTCCTGTGTGGGACCACCTTGCTTCTGGTCCCAGTCTGACTCTGAACCCTCCTGGAAGCCTGTGGATGCCTGGAAGTCTGGATCCTGCCACCTGTCTCTGTTCCTGCCTGATCTGGATCCTGCCTGTTTCTGTCTGTTCCTGTCTGTTCTGGATCCCTCACCAGGATCAGCTTCCACCATAACCTCTGGGACTGCAGCACTGGGGACACTCGTGGTCTGGACTGTTAACCAGAGTGCCTGAGATTGGGCGGTGCCCCGCCCCCCGCCTGCAGTGTCCGCGAGCCACAGCTCCACTTTAGTTTTGTTTTATTTAATAAACGTTTGAACTTTCCAACTGACTGTCTCGCCTTGAATGGGTACATCTGTCCTCGGTTCATGACACTCTTTTGCTTCAGTCCTAATATGATGGTTACATCATCTGGTTGGATCTAGTTTCTATTCCGTCTAATGATGTATTTTAAAGATTTTTTTCTGACTACCGGTATATAAAAAACTGCCGGATGACTGGAACTAGGATTTTTTTTTCTCAAACAATAAATGTAAATCTACATAATGTAGATTATAATCCTAACTACATTACATCCAAGAGTATTAATTTTATATTTTCTTGGAGAAAATAATGTAAAATGATACATTACAAATTATAATCATCAATATTGTTGTGTGAGTCAGCATTTCTATAAAGTTCAAATCCTTTCAAGCTGTGTTGAACAAAAAAAAGGTTCACTTTGCCAGAGGATTTTTTTCCTAAATTTTTTAGATTCAACCCTGTTCATTAAGTTTGCATTTCTCTTCGTCTGCATGGATGTTAACAACATTTGAATTGGGCTTGAAGTGATCTGTAAAACGCAATTTGAAAAAAAAATTGTTACATAAAACTCAATTTGATAAAATGAAATAAAAAGAAATAAGTGAAAGAAATAAAGCTAAAAAAATAAATACAATTAAACTTTGAAAGGAATGGAATTGAAGAAACCCACAAAGTTTTTTTTTTTTTTTTTTTCTATTTGCAAAATGTTCTTTTTGCTTTTAACAATATTGGGGGGAAAAAAAATCACTCCATAAAACTAAGATCCCGAACCACAGCTTCCAGCTTTAATTTTGTTTTTTCTCTGAACTGTGACACCAGAATTGCATATTTCATGGTGTATGACATATATATATTTTTCTGGTTGAGACAAATTGACAGTGACAGCGGTTCAGAAGGTAGAGCTTTGTCATATATTTGTTAGGTTGCAGGTTCCAGCTGTGGCTACAGTGTAACTTACCATCATGATGTATAAATTAGTGAATGATTTTTTTGTCTTTTGGCTTAATAAAGTGCTAAACAAATGTAGGCCATTAAATGAAATGTTTAGTGTCATGATTTTTTTTAGGACAGCTAGGCATCAAGTTTTAATGTTTGAGTTTGTCCACCAGGTGGTGTAATTTCTTTCCTTTTTCAAAGCTGTTGAAATAAGTGTGTCACTTTGTTGGTGGTTAGACTGATGGTTAAAACCTTGTAACTGTCGCAGTCTGTCCTCCATTTGTCTCTGCATATCTTCGGCCTCCGCTTGGATTCTCTTCAGACGATCTGCTGCTTCACCTCCAATTGTTTGATTCAATTGTTTTTGCTTTAAAAGCTGAAACTGCTCCTCAACGTCCTGTAGCCCCTGTTGCAGAGAAAGTGTCAGAAATAAAGTGGTACTAAAGTGAAGGGCTGCAGACTTTAATCGCATTTTACCGCTTTATTAGGAAGGAGTGTAAATGCTGATTCTGCAGCTTCTCTGGCTTCTCTGGCCATCTCTCTGTTCTTCTCAGTTTTATTCTTCACAGCTTCGATTTCTTCCTGCAGATCTGAAGGCCAATTCTTCAGCTTAGGCTCAATGCTGTCCAGTTTGTTTTCCATCTAAAACATGGCAGAACGGTGATCAGTATAAACCAGGTATGATTTGACTGCGGTAAAGATAAGAAAAGTTTGAATTTACCTCTTGGATTTGATCTTTCGCCATGTCTCTGTCCTGAACCGCAACCTCCAGGTCATCGTTGGCTCTGTTCTGAAGCTCCTCAGCTGCATAAAGGTCCCTGCTGATGTCTACAACGTTGATGTTTTTGGTCTTCTCCCTGTTAAAATAATATAAATAAAGATTTATCAAAACATTTTTTTTGAACAAAAGCTTGCTATCACATGTCCACGCTACATAATCTTGCTTTTGTGTTTTTAACCACTAACTTGATTTGTGTGGCTTTCAGCAGAAGCTCCTGAGCCGTTTTAGCTTTATCCTGTAACTTCTTCAGTTCATCCGGGAATTTGGTCACACTGTTTAACAGATTATATATTTCACTGATCATCCGTCGGATCTCAGCAGGTGATCGTGGTAAATGGATGCTCAGGACAGCGTTGGCCATTTTCTTGATGTCCTCTGGAGGAACCATTTCATCTGCCAGGAAGGAAACTTCTTTTAAAGTACTCTATAAGCTGAGCTATAGGGAGCATTTACATACTGGATAAAAAAGGGCCAAGAATGGTGCCTTGAGGAGCCCTACATGTGATCTTTGTTTGCTCAGATTTATAATTAACAAATTATATTAAAACCAGGGTTGATGATGTTATCCACTCTCGTGTTTGAGATTAAGTAAAACTAAGAAAGGACATTTCCTGCACTGAAACACAGATCTGTAAAGGTGATAGGAATAACACAAACCCATCAAGTATTGTTTGACTCTCTGGAGGAGCTCCCTAGTTCTGTTTTTCTCCATCTCCAGTGATCCAGAGGTCTCCCTGATCTGACGCTGCAGGTCTTGGGCCTGGTCTTTGGTGGACTGAGCCTCCAACCGGGCTACTTGCATCTGAAACAGTTACAACAGTAAAAGCATTTCTTAAAAGAGACAAATCTTTAGATTTCCTTCAAAACCTGAGATGTAGGGATCCTCCCACAGTCAGCAGATGTTACAATGCAGCTTCTGGGTTTCTTGAGAAGCAACAACTGGTTTGGTGAAAAATTTGATCAGGAGTTTTGGGTGGATTTATGGCAATAAAGAGCCAATCTTCAGTTAATGATACGTAATGATTTGGTATTACATTAATTTCCATAACATGATTAATTATTTCCTTTTCTTATTTATCTTTTTTTCAAGTCAGGAGACTTGACCAAAGCAGTTTACACTACATTCAGTCATTCACCCACTGATGGTGGCAAGCTGGATTTTAGCCACAGCTGCCCTGGGGCTCCCTGACAGGAGAGAGTTTGCCGTATACAGGCGCCAGCATCAGTAGACCATGCAGGGGAGCAGGGCAAACTCCTGCACCAGACACTATTCCTTAATTTGTGATTTAATCTCCAACCAAACTATTTTCAGATAACCATCTATTGGATATAAAGTGTATGGATTCATTTAAACTCTCATGCTTTATAAAGCTTGTTGAATGTAATTTCAACAGAATTGGCAGCACCAAATTCAATGAATGTACATTAAGACTTTTTACAGTATTCTCAGAAAACCATGTTCATATCACAAGTAATATAGTAAGTACCTATGACATATGATATTTCATCACAAAACAAACAAAAAACACAAAAACAATATATAAACTATTATTTCAAATTTTAGAATATGGGCATATATTTATAGATTCAAATGGAAATCCCTAATTTATGAAAGAATCCATAAAACATTTCTCAGATGAGCATGTTAGAGCTGGAAAAATATAAGAGGGGCTCCATCTTAAATCTATAAACTAAATAGTACTATTATTACTATTATTAAGGCTCATGGTCTTTAAAATTACCAGCTGGTGATGGAGATAGGGAGCTGAGGAAAGCCAGATTGGTTTTCTCTTCATGCAATCAATCAAAAATTATTTTCTGATACTAGTACCAAACCAAAGCAGGAACCATTTTAATGGAGAAGCTCTCCCAGAGTTCTCGGTGTAAACCTGCCTTTCTCTCAGACTCCCGTAGCTTGAGAGGGAGTTCGACGAGTCGTTGTTTTACTTTCTCTTCCATCTCTAAAGCTTTCTGAGAAGCTGGGACAGCTCCATCACATATCTGCCCTTCAGGACATTTTGAGCAGTCCTTCGGATCTGGTTGCCCACAGACCTGCATTGGAACACATTGTTCAGAGGAATCAGAAGATCATATAAAGTCTCATATGCCACCCTGTTTTAATTAATTATAAGACTTAAGGAGGAACAATGAAGTCCATATATATTACCACTAATGAGAACTCTAGGGTTAAACATTAAACAAAATCTCCTCTTCATTGGAAAATACTGCATATTTATATAGTTAAATGGTTGATAGAAGCCATGTGACAAAACCGAAAGGTACTGTAGTTCAAGGCTACACAAATGTTGATAAATCCATGTTTACAGAAAAGTAAGCTTTGTGAGGGATATGTTACAGTATGTGAAACCCTGTTGTCAGATACTCTGACATATATCAGGGCGAAAAGGAAAAAGCTCACTTTTTTCCTTCTCTGGAAAATCAGGAGATTGGCAGGAAATAACAATGAAAAAACACATAAATCAGGAGAGTTGGAAAAAATGCTTTATAAACCAAACTGTGAGACATCTGAGAAGAGCTACAGGTTTTTGCTTTGGGAGACGTTTCCATCATTATTCATAAGCCCATCTATACATTTATGTTGTTTTTTTTTTTATCATGACAAAACTGTCAGACTTTACATGGTTCTAGTTTGTATTAATTTTCATGTTGTGGTACATGTTCTAATGCATGTGGTGGTCCTTGCTCTAGTGCATGTAGATGTCAAAGTCATGCTGCATGCTGTTTGTCACAATGCATATAGAGTTTCATGATCTAAAACATTTGGTGGTTTATTTCCTAAAGCATGATGTGTTGAATGTTGAAGTACAGGGTCTGTGCAAATGTCTGCTGCATGCAGTGTTGTGTGCATATTTTTCACCTTCTGGTTGAGTTTGAGAACACTCAGCTCTTTGACCTTCTTCTCCAGTGCTGCCATGGGTCCTCTGCCTTTGCACATGCTAAGCTTGCGCTTTAACTCCTGCCTAGTATCCATAGAGTCCTCCACAGCTTTACTGGAGTTTCTCAGTCGCTTCTCGTCTGACATAAAGATTTTATGAAGCTTTTGGATCTCCTCTAGCATCTCTGCAATACATTTAAACACAAGACAAACAGGTTATCATTTACATATTGACTTAAAAAGATTCATTTTTTGTCCATACATTTGTAAATTATATATGAAGTCAGGAAAATATGATCTGCTTGGTCAAAATGATTGAAACTTAATATTTGTGTGCACATGAACCCAATCTTCATATCTCACCTTCCACTTGCTCTGTTTGTTTCTCATTTGGCACCTTGATGAGTTGGTCCTTCATGTTTTTAAGCAGTTTCATAAACTCTGAATAAATGTTATCAATGTCAGCGTTTAGGAGAAGAGACGGGTCGATCAGAATGATGTTAGTGTCTACAGTATCTTTCAGCCTCCTGTGAAGAAAAGTCCTTTAAAATTGAAACTTTCTGCAAACAACATTGACTCCAACAAACAGAAGAAAGATTTTATTTTGTCTTCCTATTGGTAGAAAGATCTTCCTGCAAACATAGAATGCAGAACTCACCTAATCTTAATGTAAAGTTTCTCTACATTTTCCAGCTTTGGGAGGAAAGGACGCGTCATGTTAGCAAGGCGGTCCAGTCTGGAGTGCATCTCCAGCATCCATTGCCAGTAGCGACTGTGTGTTGAATCCTGAGTGTCGCCATGGAGAGGGATGAGGGTTCTCATCCTTTGGGCAGCTCGTTGGACGTCAGTGACGTTTACGGCCCACAGAGAGCTGCACTCATGGCACCTCTCACAGGCTGGAAACTCTGAGCTGTGACCTGGAGCACATTCGTCACAGAGGATTCCAGTGACGCCGATCCGGCAGATACACTCACCGGTTTCAGGGTCACATGATGGCCTCTCGGTTCCCTCCAGGTTACAGTCACAAGCTAAGAGCAAAAAGTACTCCATTAAATAAACCATTTGGATTGCACCATTCATATGCTAAGTAATTTAAAAACACTTTTCATAAAAACAGCACCTAGTTAAAGATGTCATTAAACTAAGAATGTGTTGGAATTTTAACATTATGAAAAGTATAATTAAATGGTAAATCTAAAACATATAACTAAGTGAGTCATTATTAGGATTCAGAAAAAAAGACCTCTATTTATTTGGTTCTGATTGTTTTGTTGTGGTAAAATATATTATAACAATAATCTAACATACTAAATGAAAAAACTAACAGTTTTTAGGGATTCTGGTCCAAAATTAAACCGTTAATTCTGGCAATATTTTGAGAAGCCAATAGACTGACTTTATAATGAACTTAATGCAGATGTTAAACTTAGGCCTTGGCCCATAAAGACAAAAGGTTTTCATGTGCTTCATTGTCTTTAGCCTCAACAGGTTTATTAATTCCTGCTCCCATACTCACAAAGATTCCTCTCAGAGAGCTCCCAGTGTAAACAGTCAGGCAAGAGGTGTTAAAGCTAGTTACTAAGCTCACCATTGAGCAAAGACCAAATATAAACTTTAATCCTTAAAAGGAGTTGCAGTTTTTTTTACCTCTTGCTAATTGTGATACCGTCCTCTATGAACTCTGATTGGTTGATATGCAATGAAAAACAAATATGTCGTAGAAACCAATATAAAATGAAACTAACTGATCACACAGCTTGAGGTAGACTAAGAAACTTGTGTCATGATGATGTGAAACTAAATCCTCACATAGCAACAAAAGGTTTTATCGTACCATATTTACATGCTCAACGTTATCTTGATTTGATTTAGTAATTTCTTCACCATTTAACTTTTTGATCTATTTGATGTCAATGTGAACAGTCACTTGTCAGTATTTTACTCTGACTTATTGATTTGGCATAGGGGCTGCAAGATGGAGCAGTGCTTAGCCTTGCTGCCTTGCAGCAAGAAGGTTCGGGGTCTGATTACTAGCCCGGGGTCTTTCTGATTGAATGTTCTCCCTGTGCATACGTGGGTTCTCTCCGGATACTCCAGATTCCTCCCACAGTCCAAAAACATGATTGTTAGGTTAATTGGAATCTCTAAATTGTCTTAGGTTTGAGTATGTGTGCATGATTGTGTGTCATTGTGTGTCTCTGTATTGCCCTCCGATAGACTGGCGACCTGTACAGGCGGTACCCTGATACACATGGCCCCATCACGACCCTGATATGGACTAATTGGAGGTAAATGGATGGATGGATGGATTTGGCAAAACATCCATAAAATGTCGAAAAAAATGGGGAGAATACCAAACACACCAGAGGGGCAGAACCTGTCGTCACAGCTCTGAAAGCGATAGATAGGTAGGATGGTGATCATTCAAATGAAGGGGGCAGTTGTGAGAGTGAATTGCCATGAAGACTGCTACATTATCTCCTTTAATGTTTCACCTCAGCCTGAGATGTGAGAAGTCCCCTTGTTTCTTTGCAGTTATCTGCAAATCGTCCTTTTGTGTAAAAGCCTGTAGTGTTTATATGATTGAACTTGATGTTCAGAATCCTTGCCAGAAAAAAATGTGAACCCTGCATGGTTGAGCAGGTAGCATGTTTCTTTTATTCTCTTTTATTGTTAATTTAATATTTTCCTTTCTCTCTGTTTCCACCATCTTCTCTGCTTAAGATGCTTTAGGCTCTCTGAAAATCCACCTCGCTGCTCTTAACATGTTTACTTTTTAGGAGATACATAGAGGCCAATGGAGTTGGTGGAATACATTTTATCCTACAGAGAAAATATAACCCTAAAATTCAAGGAATTTTCTTGAAATTACATCACTTAGAGCTATTTAAAAGCACAAACATTTGTACTTAATAGAAATGAAATTAAAAAGAGTAAAAGTTTACCTTTTGTTAGATAAAAAGCATCCCTCATTTCATAGTTTTTCATTTTTTTATTTTGATCAAGACGTTAAAGTTTGAAGTACCTTAAATTTTGCTGCACTGTTATCTTGACATCACCTACTTTCTTTTCTTTTAAAAGCTTTAACAAGGTTGAGTTCATTCACTTACAGAAACACTGCAGGTCTGGATTCCCAAAGTGATTTTCTCCACATTCATCACACTGTCTTCCTCCAAACTCATGACGACAAAGACACTGTCCCGACACCTGAATTCATATCAGAGCTTTAGCCAACACACTTAACCCTTTCAATCAGACCCTGAGGAAGATCAGTGCTCCTTTTACCTTGTTACAGACATTGGA